TGTTTTTTTTAGAATGGTAAACAAACATACATTTTTCGTATTACTTCAAAAACTTGTGGGTTATATCAGAATTGGTAGAGCGAATCATGAAATTGGTTGACTACAGACAGGAATTACTGAAAATGCATAGGATTATTTTTGCTTATTGAATCATTTCTGATCTTTTTTTTTTTATACAACTTAGAATGGCAAACAAGCTGACGGCCCACCTGATGGAAAGTGGTAACCGTCGCCTATAGACACGAGCAGTACCATGGACATAACAGAGTATACGGTTTCGCCCATGATACTCCCCATGCGTTGCCATTCCTGAGGACTCAGGTGATATTCTTCTGTATCCTGTAAATTCATGCCATATCCATGTATGTATATCAATAATTACTAGTACCGCAATCGAGTATTCTGACACTTCCCTATGGTTGACCGGGAGAGAATGCTTCTAGCAAAAAGTCTACCAAATATATATATATGTACTAATGTATAAATAAATATAGATAGTATAAAACAAAGTCGTCTCTTTGTCTGTCTGTCCCTATGTATGCTTAGATCGTTGAAACTACACAACGGATTTGAAGCAGTTTTTTTTAATAGATAGAGTGATTCAAGAGGAAGGTTTATATGTATAATACATGCATAATATTGTAGAGGAACACTGATAATTTTAGAGATTTCTAATGTAATGTTGTAAGTAAACACTTTGCGCTCCCATTGCAAACGCTGACTAAACTCTATGAGATCGATCAAAATAATGTATTACATAAATAAAAAAATATATATTCAAAATTATTCTATAGTATATTTAGCACCCGTGCAAAGCCGGGGCGGGTTGCTAGTAAATAAATAAATAAAAGTCAAGGTACTTGCATCTATCTATTAGTAAGTACTTGTCTATTTAACAAGTTTTATTTCGTTAAAGTTTCAACTTTCGAAGGCCGTCATTACGTGTTCAAGTGGATTTTGGATTGTTTGGTTCACTCAAATATCGTAAAATTATAAGCAAATAGTTGGACATTTTCACACATTCTTATAAGGTGTATCCGTGGGTGAGGGTTTTAACACTTAAATATTAATTTTTGGGTTCAAGATAAAGATAGAAAAATTGCTAATTGTCCACGATCCCGAGCTCACGGGCGGTATCTAGCTTTTAAGTCTAAGGCAAGACTTTGCCTCCCTTTGTATGTTCTACCGCTTGTATAACGGGTTATGTTCCGAGGAATTGTTTGAAATGATCACCTTTTATTATCGCACTGCTCGCCATCGACAGGGAATCTATCCTCACACGTATACACACTGTAGTGGAACTAAACAAAATAGTTCTTATCAAATATTTAATCAGTTATTTGGTCTTCTCTTAAATAACAGCTAGTTCAGTAAAATACAAGTCGAAACAATTATCGGAAACGACAATCTAAAAAAGACTGAAGTTAAAAAAGAGCTAACTAAATGGCTTTTGGACAAACTTTTTTATTGTATTAAGGAATATCTTGAGTGTTAGGCGTGACATTTTAATTATTTTTTACCCCTATTGACATTTTTCTATTTTGTAAATTTATTGTATTGCTTGTTATATATATATATATATATATATATATATATATATATATATATATATATATATATATATAAATGACATAATGTACTATAATCTAGACTTTTAATATGTAAAGTTAAGTTAAAGAACTATAATTTTGCTTACCGGTTTTTTTTTATATAAAATGTTAAATAAATGCATGTCTACATCCTTTAAGGCAATTAAACAGGTGCCAAAATAATACCACGTGGCTTGTTATAATTTTAAACTGTTTAATGCAAACAACATTATTTCATTTCATCATACTAAGTTTATAATATTCTCGTTATATACATATATATAGACATTGTTATATTATATATATATTGGTATATTATACATAACATAACCTTCAAGAAAAGAGCATATACCCTTTTAAAAGGCCGGCAGCACACCTGCAATGCCGTTGGTGTTGTGGGTGATCATGGGCGGCGGTAGTCGCTTACCGTCAGGTGAGCCGCATGCTCGTTTGCCCCTTTGTGTTGTAAAAAAAATATTACAGAATGGTAGCTGTGTGGTCCCGGCATAGAATATACCACCCCTTTCTTTCCTATAGGTGTCGTAAGAGGCGACTAAGAAGAGCGAAGAATGGGCAGCAGCGTCTCTCTTAAAACATCACCAAAGCCTAACTGATGTTAGCAGTCCGCCTGCCAAGCGTGGCAACCACTGGCAAAAGCCCCAAGAGGGAGGCTTATGTTCACCAGTGGATAGTTAAAGGCTGATATGGTGATGATGATACGATGGTAATGGTATCTAAGAATTGATCTGATGATAGAATCAGGGAGAAATATAAGATTCCTGCTGTAGTGACGTGTAGACTTGTTTGATTCCGTTCGTACTGGCTTCATTTCTTACTCCTTCACTGTTCAAGCTATTAAACACTGGAACACACTCCCGCTTGACATAAGATCTACCATAAGCAAGCCAGCTTTTAAACACAAATTGCTCACCTATTTCTTAGAACAATCACTTTGCCTTTAAGCATCTCCTGCTGGTTACTCTGTTTGAGTCATAGATTTACTATTTGCTCTTCTATTGCAGTTGTTTTATTTAACTGTTTTATATAGTAATATTTTATGTATTTATTTATTGTATGTATACATTTATTTATTTAATATATTATGTGTATGTTTATATTATATGAATTTATCAAGTATTGCATTGCTATTTCCTCTATTTAAAATTGCACCGCCTACGTATTTCTCGGTTCGCCCAATGGTCGACTGGTAGAGAACACCGTCCGGTGTTAAGTCCGCCAAATGTACATAGAATATTACTGTACGTTTAAAGTTTAAATAAATTTATACATCTATCTATCTTGTTACTAAGCAGACAACTTTAGTATAATCTTCATTTGGTTTTCATATACAATTAATGCATACGTACGTACAAATTGTGTTCGCGTGTTTTGTTTGCCTGTCGCGGAAACCGTGGTGTGAGAATAGGGTCAAGTAAGGTCGACAGTATTAATTTGAACATCTGGAGTACACGGCGCCCGTTATGGACTAGTTTATTTTTTTAAATTTCGTTTCGTATTCTTCACTATGAGTATTATTATTGTCATTCCACCGCCTTGTCTATTTAGTGGCGTGTAATTTGCTTGTAAATTGAGGATAACACGAGAATTAAAGTAATTATTAGACTAAATTACTTTTGCATTATTTTGTCGTATTGTGCTTTAGTCTTTTGAAAGTTTTGGCCCTCATTTATTATGGTAAGTAGGTATGTAGTGATGGCTTCAGGGCATTGTATGGTGTACTTCTTCTTTTCATTTAAGAGTTCCCTCTTGTCGGTGCAACTAATTCATGTATCTTTCTCCAGCCAGCTCTATCCCAGGCCATATCTTTTATCTCCCTATACGACATGACGCCTAGTGTTTCCTTTATCTGTCCCATGTAGTTAACCCTCGGTCTTCCTCTTCCTCTTTTGCCCTCTATCTTTCCTTCTATTATGCTCTTAAAAAAATCGTCATGTCGTATAAAGTGGCCCAGCATTTTGCCTCTTCTATTCTATATTATTTCAATTAATGTTCTCTTGTATGGAGTACTATGAAGAGTTATTTCCTTTGCCTTCCTATTGCATCTTTGCGATGAAAAAGAGCGGTGACAGATAATATCGACTTACTTATTGAGCATTCGAAATTAGGATTATTTAATTCGTAATAGAAAAAGTATTACTTACACATATATTAATTACACTTGTCGTTTTCAGCGATAAGGCCACCCATTGTTTTCTCACTGTGATTATTTCTTGTAATTGTTTGAATTTACAGGGTACAGAGGAATAACACCTGAGTCCTCAGGAATGGCAACGCATGGGGGGTATCATGGGCGAAACAGTATAGTATGTTATGTCCATGGTACTGCTCATGTCTATAGGCGACGGTTACCACTTTTCATCAGGTGGGCCGTCAGCTTGTTTGCCATTCTAAGTTGTATAAAAAAAAATCTATAATCAATTTACTATTGTAATCTTTTGGAGGAAACAATAAAGAATATCTGTCTATCTATCATATTTTTTATCTAATAGTAAAAATAATTATATAATTACATCAGGTATAAAATAATAACTATATAAAAAAAATATAGAAAATAAACCATTTTAATAGGTGACAATGAAATGGTTATCCCGCCTTCGCTATCGGTATACGCTGGCGAGGCACAAGTGAGAGATGATAGGTGAGGATGAAAGCAGGTCAGTTGGCCCATCGTGACGAATTCCATTAGAATTAACCGCAATAGTTTCCAGGGGTACCGCGTCGAGGTCGACGTGAAAGGGTTTATTGCTACTCTTGGAACCTTCAGATCCCTTTAATAACAATCTTTATCTAAATGAAGGCTTAGAGGACTTAGATATAAAATCAGTAAAACTAGAGAAAAACAAACATTAAAATTAACTGGCTACGGTAACTACTTACCATCAGGTGGGCCGTATGCTTGTTTGCCATCTCAGTGGTATAAAAAAAAAAACTGGTTTCAGTTATAATAAATTATCATTCGATGTTGAAAATCATCTGTAGCCTTTAACTGGTTTTGCCAGAAGTTGCCACGCTTGGCTGGAGGTTTCGCCCTTTGATACCCCCATGCGTTGCCATTCCTGAGGACTCAGGTGTTATTCCTCTGTACCCTGTAAATTCACGCCATATCCCATCCTTCAAACCGAAACACAGCCATGCAAACACAACTGCTTCACGGTTAAAACACGAATGGGACAGAGGTACCCAAGCCAACGACTTTTGTACAAAGTCTTCCTCTGGTGGTGGTCTCTCACAAAGATTGTTTTTAAATTGTAACCTATATAGCTGTAAGTTTTATATAAAAAAAAAATAGATATTAACAACTCGCTCTTTCCCAGTGTTAATATTACGTAGCGATCTACAAAACAGAATTGTTTTATGAAGTCGATTAAAGCAGAGTAATTTTGTCCACAGATTAATATCATTGGAAGTCACACCCCGGCCTGAAGTGCAATGCGAGACGGTGGCATGGAGGCTGGTGGGCTTGCTCGGCAGCGACCAGGGGTCTGGACTCCGCGCGAGGACCGCCCGGCTGGCGGGCGCGCTGGTACACTACACGCCCGACACCAGAGACGCCATCGACGCCAGGAGGAGACAGCTCGACGCTGCTGTGCAGGGTAAGATAGTATTTTTATCTTGGAGTGGCGATGAGTCCTTGGAATGAAGACCATCGACAAGATACCAGAGAGAGACTTTGAACAAAAGTCGTTTGCTTGAGTACCTCTGTTCCATTCGTGTTTTTACCGTGAAAGAGTTGTGTTTTGCATGGCTGTGTTTCAGTTTGAAGGGTGGGATATGGTATTGAATTTACAGGGTAAAGTATCATGGGCGAAACAGTATACTCTGTTATGTCCATGGAACTGCTCGTGTCTATAGGCGACGGTTATCACTCTCCATCAGGTGGGCCGTCTGCTTGTTTGGCATTCTAAGTTGTATAAAAAAAAAGATAAGGTATAAATAAGAAAGTCAAAACATTTAAATTTGTTCATATCTATGTATCTATTGTTTGAATTCAATCATTGTCATTCAATCAGTCAATCAAGTTACACAACTCCGAAAACTAACGAGTGATATTGCTATGTCAAACTTCCGCTTGTCAATTTACATTGACTATCTTTATTGCCATGTAACAAGTTTCTAATTATGGTTATTTGAGATTAATGCTTGTAATTTAAGCTTTAAGGTCTAGATTAAATTACTGTAAATATGTGCGTGCAAAAGAAAGTTAGTTGAGATATCTGCTCGTATGAAGTATAACGACCCGTTCGCCTACTCTCCTAAACAATAGTACATTACCATAGCGTAAGAAAATAAGTTCTTTAGTCATTACTCTGTTAGATATTACTCTGTGTATCAATACAGAATAAAAGATAATTTTTTTTAGAACGTTTGTTCCGTTACGGAACAGGCTAAGGTCGGAGACCATGCTGCCTAGTGTTTAGTATGATAATTTATCTGGAATTAAAAGATAATTTTCATTCGCGCCAATTCACGCATGCAGTTTCTGTTCTTTTTTTAAACTTAAATATGTTTGAATTTAGAATTTTAATGACCTAATATCGTGTTCCTAAGATACATTATTTGTGTTATTTTAATGTCTTCAATTATTTACATAAAATTAATATAATAAAGTTATAATAAAATGTCTCTTACTGCAGTTTTGAGACGTGAAAGAAGGGTAATAAAAAACTGTTATACATTGTAATTTCCATTATTCCTTAACCCTTAAACAGTTGGCTATCTCTTGACATAAATCAAGTTTTATTAGTGGCTATTAAAATTGAATTTGTTTATATTTCACGCACTGTGTTATTATTTTATGGTAATTATTGGAGATGCGTAATTACTTCCATGGTTGGTAATTTAATTAATTACGACGTAATGTGAAGTAATTTTGCTAGTCGATTGTTTTGTTTGATAAAGTATAATAATTGAAAGTTTTTTTTATTGTTGTTTTTATGTAATAGCGTAATGTTATCTTGTAATAAGGTTTTGTTATGATTTATTTTTAAAAGTAACCTCTTGCGGTTGATAGTAAGAGACGACGTTTAGAATTTAACATAAGAAAAGCGCGTCACGTGGTCGTACGAAGACAAAGGATTATCTCTTTAAGTTCATTTTTTAAATTATTTGTATGTAAGTACGTTATACTAAGTCTATGTTTACGTCCTATTCTAATTAATATAATAAATGTGAAATAAATGAATATTTTTTTGAAACATAGTCAGTATATGTTTTTTTTTATACAACTTAGAATGGCAAACAAGCTGACGGCCCACATGATGGAAAGTGGTAACCGTCGCCTATAGACATGAGCAGTACCATGGACATAACATATGGCAGTGAATTTACAGGGTACAGCGGCAGACTTAGTTCTCAGGAATGCCAATGCATGAACGCTATCTTGGGCGAAACAATATATTCTGTTATGTCCATGATACTGCTCATGTCTGTAGGCGACGGTTATCGCTTTCCATCAGGTGGGCCGTCAGCTTGTTTGCCATTTCTAGTTGATAAAAAATGTTAAAAATAGATATAAATTCACATATTTCGTCGTAATTAGGCATGCAAAATAAAAAAGAAATAGTTATTTAAAACTTTGTAACGATGAATGGCTATTTATTACTTTTTTATGCATAAACTGCTGAGCAGATTTGAATGATATTTAGTGCATGGGTAGGGTATAAACTTAGCATATAGGATAATTTATGTATTGACTAGCTGTTGCCCGCGACTTCGTCCGCGTTTCCGTTGTTTTTCGTACAATAAATAGCCCATGTTCTTCCTCACGGTTCAGTGGTTTGGATGTAACAGACACATTTCCCTTCACTGCTCTGCTCCTATTGATCGTAGCGTGATGAAAAGTATACTATAACCTGCCCAGAAGTATGAAGAATAATTGTACCAAGTTTCGTTAAAATCCGTCGAGTAGTTTTTGTTTCTATAACGAACATACAGACGAGACAGACAAAAATTTTACTGATTGCATTTTTGGTATCAGTATCGATCCCTAATCACCCCCTGATAGTTATTTTGGAAATATATTTCATGTACAGAATTGACCTCTCTACAGATTTATTATAAGTATAGATATGTTATTACATGTGTTGTGTTGTGATGAAGGACTAAAAATGAGGTCGAAACCATTATAAGTCCATCATGATAATGCCGAACAAACCATGGACGAGTGGAACTACGGATAATGCGTTTCCGCGGCGATTCCATTCCGTCCGCGGGAATTATCCTAATGGCGCTCATTTCCTTTGATTATCGGCATTACATACAATAATATCAAATGTATAATACTAAGACTGTTTAATTTCCGTTTAATCGATGTACCGTGAAATTAGTTGTACTAAGATCGAATATCAGCACAGATCTCTGAATTTCCGAAATTCAAGTCTTGTTCAAACAAAAATGATTCTTTTTTTTAAATGACCTAAACAAGAATTTGTCGCGTACATTGGCATGACTCGTAAAATACGTCAGAAGTAGAATTTTAAACTGATTTTGACCAAAGCCTAACTGCGGTTGCCAATACGGTTGCCAAGTTTGGCAACTACTGGCAAAACCATCCAATGGGGAGGCTCATTTCAGCAGTGGACAGTTAAAGGCTGATATGATGATGATTGTCACGATGCAGTGTGGTCTCGGCATAGAATACCTAATCGCTCTATTATCATCCCTTTTTATGGATGATAATAGAATGGTAACCCCGCCTGCGCTATTGGTATACACTAGCAGGGCACCAGTGAGACATGATTGATGAGGATGAAAAGGCAGGTCAGTTAGCCCATCGTGACGAATTCCATGATAAATTAGTTACGATGGTTTCCAGGGGGAACCGCGTGGAGGTCGACCTGATAAGGTATATTGATAGCGATAGGGACTAACCTCCCCATTACTAACAATCCTTCCCCCCCACTAGGCCATCCCTTTTATACCCGTGGATGTTTTAAGAAGTGAAAAATAATTTAATATCGAGGGATGGCAGCAGCGTCCCTCTTAAAACAGTACCAAAGCCTAACTGCGGTTGCCAATCCGCCTGCTAAGCGTGGCGACTACTAGCAAAACCCCCACGGTGGAGGCCTATGTTCAGCAGTGGACAGTTAACGGCTGTAACATCATTATCATTGTCACGATTGAAGTTACCATTTTATGCAAAATTAAAACATATGCAAAATATTAAATTAAATATTTAAAAGCTGCCCATCAAACGTCTTGTCTTCTATCATCACTTACAAAATCCATTTTTTTTATCGGGATGAAAATTATCATACCTCTCAATTTGGGGAAAATATTACACAAATTGGTTGAACGGTTTCGGAGACGAACGTGAACGAACATCGTGACACTAGATTTTAAAGTGTTAAGAAAATTTACATAAGAGTTTTAATCTTTAAAATTAGGAACGTGATGTGATGTTCTAATTCTGCAGGTCTGGGCACTCACGGCCTCACGGCGGACGCGTCCGGCACCCTCATATCCCTGCACGTGGCGATGAAGAATGAGCTCCAGCGCCACGTGGACGTTTACAAGCAGGCGCTGCACAAGTTGGAGGAACTGGTATATATATATGTCATTGTTTTAACCCAATTGGTAAAGTAAGGAGGGCAATGATTTAAAAGATCATGTATGTCAAGTAGAGTTTGGATCTTTGGTTAATTGTGCGAGTTTAACTGCTCTATGGATTTAAGAACTATTTACACTTTGACTTTTATCAGGCCCATTATGCGTTACCATGATCGAAAATTAGGGTATTTTGCCTACAGAGTATGAGCGTATAATTTCACTGCCATATTCTGTTTTTAAAACATATGCCAGGGTGCTACTGTAGTGATCCATCCGGTTCTAGAGTAAAGGCGCTCGAATATGTCCACCCCGGCCTCCCGAGTCACTAAAGCTTCTAACTAGTATCCCCCTTGCATCTACAGTATCTCCCTCCCGTTTCCTCAATCCTTTCCCCTATACGGTAGGTGGTAAATAGTAACAGAAAATGCATTCCCAAGGAGGTTTGATGTCAGGCAAGCGGCCAGTCGTAAAACCAAAAGCCAAAATCTTGAGTAATATGGATAAAATCATATCACGCTGACCCTCAGTTAATGGCTGACTCCCAATTATTGGGATAAGGACAGAAAAATGATGATTCTACTTTTAAAACGGATACTTTTTGTTTTTTTTTACAGTCTACAGTGACAGTGAACCAAGACCCAGCATCCTCATCCCATCAGCGTCTTCTGGCCCTCTCCCACGCGGACGTTGAGAGAAGGCTGATCGACAACAAGTCTCTGCTGACGATAGTGGACAAGCCAGCTTTGAGGCAGCTTCCCACGCTGGTGTCATCGCTCGCGGCCAGGGTCGAGAGCGACAAAGCTGTGCTGGCGTGTGTTGGTCAGATCAAGAGGAGTGACCCTACGCTGGATTTAAGTGATACGAGGTAGGTTTTGGTATAAAAATTTACTAGATAGCTAGTGACCCTCTTGGGTCGTCGGTGGATAGATAGAAAGTCACAAATTGTTTTTGAACACTAAATACAGCACGTGTTACTACTCTAATAACGGATTATCTGTATGTAAAATAATTTTTGAAAATAGGTTAGTATTTTTTGAGTTCTTCCTTTAGAAATAAAAAAATAAAACTGTTCCACTTCATAACAATATTACTAGTTTACATTGATCACATTTTGCAAAGAATTATATGACAGTGCTCTGCAGTGGGCACTATTTTTTTATAGCATTTTCTCAAAGCTTTCGTCTTAATTCTGTTATCTGTCATCAAACTTTGGGAATACAATGTAAATGTAGTCACGATCTTCCTTTCAATTTTCTTTTCTTCGACTTACAGCAAAGACAATTTCCCATAAGTGAAGAGACGTACTATTCTTTTCTACTACTCTACCCCGTACTATTCTTTCGTACTATTCTACCCCGCTAGTAGTTGGTATATGGTTTAATTTCGAGTTTTCCTTTATATACACTTGGGTATTTCGTTTCGTCCCCGGATCATATATTACGACATCCTAGGGATGTAATTGCATCTGCAACCCGCCTGCCTCGTGTAGAAGTAGTTTCTACTGTTGGCAAAACCTTTCAATCAGGGAGGCCTTTGTTCAGCTGTGGACAGTTTTTTTTACTATTGAAAGGGTCCCGCGATTGATCACAATCTCAACTGATGGAAAGCTATGATGTGGTCTAAGATGGGGCTCGCGGGCTATCCACACTACAGCTAACGGCTGTATAATATGGTTACTCAATTTGATAAAAATGGGAAGTTACGCTATAAAATATTGAAAAAGTAGTCGCGTGTTATTTCGTAAGACAAAAGTTATTTTTGTATTGTTATAGGAAATCACGCTACGCTTAATATTATATTATTTATGTATATATAATTATTAATTCGAATGTAAGTACGTAAGTGAATGCGTCGGCTTCCTTTCGAGCGTTTTTAACGGACATCCTACAAGGAAACGAATTGGTTATAATAATATTTTATAGTGTAAATGAATAATTATAAATGAATCATGTAAGTAGGTACTCTTATTAATGATAAATCATCATCATCAATTACCGTATCAGCCGTTAACTGATTGCTTTATATAGGTCTCTGCTATAAGACGGGTTTGCCAATATTTGCCACGCTTGGTGAGCGGGTTTGTAACCGCAGTTAGGCATGTACAACCACTCTTTGGAATCAACTTCCAGCAGCATAATTTCCGAACCGATATGACATCATAACCTTCAAGAAAAGAGTATATTCCTTTTTCAAAGGCTGGCAGTACATCCGCGATGCCTTACGATGATCACTTATCATCAGGTGAGCCGCATGCTCGTTTGCCCTGGCTTCAGTGATGGCTTAAAAGGGACGCTGCTGCCCCTCCCTCGATGATTAAATTCTCTTACTCGCCTCTTACAACACCCATGGGAAGGGAAAGTATGGCTCATTCTATGGTCCAGAACCGTACGGCATAAAACGCACGGCACATGAATCCCTTTTCAAAGATTAATTATGAATGATTACATTTGATTCTAAATTCAATTTGAATTTTGATAGTTAATACAGCTAAACTAATACGAAAAAAAAGTTATAATGCAAAAAAAAAAAAAAAAACAAACTAGAATTTAGTCCGTAGTATGTTCTGTTTCTAGATAGATATATAGATAGATAGACAATTTATTTACATTACTTACAGCACACAAAGTACAATAAAAAAAAAACATACACATAATACACAGCAAAAGAGACAAAAGAATAAAAATAAAAAAAGCACAAATAAAAAAAAAAATACAAAAACAAAATACATAATCTAACAATCTCCTTTGTTAACATTCCTTCATGCGTGTGCCATAGTAACACAAAATGGTCACAGCTCAGTTTATTGCTTTGCCCTTAAAAGAGCAAAACACTGATATTCTGCTGTGGCCAAGAGTCAGTCGCGAAACTTTTCATTAATGATCAATTCTAATGACAATAAAACAAATTATTTATCGACCATACAAATATACGTTTAACTGGCAGAGACATTGATAACATTGCCTTTTGTACTACATTTTATTGATAAACACAGTTTAAATAAACAAATTTATATCACAGATAAGCATAATAATGGTAAAGAATAAGTTACATGCTTTGTTAAAATGTATTTTTTTTTATATTTTCTTTCGTAAGGCACGATTTATGGTTTACGAAAGACATGTATATAAATAACCATAAAAGTTTTTTGTGTCAAAACTAATAATTATTTATTTATTGCACCAGAAACATAAAAATAAACGATGATATAAACAATTCAAATTAAATACAATAGCATAAAGTACAGATTAAAATATACATATAAAGGTACAAAGGCGGTCTTATCGTTAGGACAATCTCTCTTATTAATTATTTAGTACATTTGACCCAATAGATCTGTCCGTCCTTCCGTCCGGGTCCTTTCCCCCTAAAATCCTTGATAGAACTTCAATAAGGAATGATCTCTGCCAAGGTTTTCCCTAGAGACTACAGTATGGGGTTCTTCAAAAAGGGTATATTAAGGTTTTTTCAAGGTCGGCAACGTGTTCGTGACAACTCTAGTGTTGCAGGCGTCAATAGACTACAGTGACCGTTTACCATCAGACGGATCGTATGATTGTTTGCCACCGCTGTGGTATAAAAAAAATTTACATTTATTTATTTATTTATTTAACTCTGTAATGTACCAGAAACCAGAAAAAAAAACCAAATATAATTACAATTGAAGTGAAATACAGCGACACAAATATAGATTAAAATATATACATAAAGGTAAAAATTAAAAAAATATATACATAAAAAAAAAACAGCGAATCAGTTTAGCCGTTCACAGGCGAGTCACTTATCAAGAAATAGCGCTTAACTGTTATTTATAGTTATAAATAAACTTCAAAATAATCGTTTCTTCATCATCACTATTATCATGTAGTGATGATAGTATAAAACAAAGTCACTTCCCGTCTGTACATCCCTATGTATGCTTAGATCTTTAAAACTACGCAACGGATTTTAATGCGGTTCTTTTTAATGGATAGAGTGATTCAAGAGGAAGGTTTATATGTATAGTACATGCATAATATTGTAGAGGAACACTGATTATTTGAGAGGTTTCTAATGTAATGTGATGTACCATTAGATGTGATTACCAGAGGGAGAATTTGTACAAAAGTCGATTGCTTGGGTATCTCTGTCCCATTTGTGTTTCTATCGTGAAGCAGCTGTGTTTGCATGGCTGTGTTTCAGTTTGAAGGGTGAGATATGGCGTGAATTTACTGGGTACAGAGGAATAACACCTGAGTCCTCAGGAATGGCAACACATGAGGGTATCATGGGCGAAATAGTATACTCTATTATGTCCACGGTACTGCTCATGTCTATAGGCGACGGTTACCACTTTCCATCAGGTGGGCCGTCAGCTTGTTTACCATTCTAAGTTGTATAAAAAAAAATATTAAATGTTATGTGCACCCGTGCGAAGCCGGGGCGGGCCACTAGTTCTATAAATAATTCTTTACCATATTAATAATTTTCCACATACATAACAATTAAGCATTCAATAGAAACAAAGCATGCACCTACCTACCTACCTGTACACGAACGACAGCCTTTAGTTCCGAGCTATTATTACAAACCATTGCCAAAAGGCGATAAAACACTTTACACTGTTAAACTAAACGTTATCGCTTAACACCGCGGAATATCTGCCGTTAAACGTTAATAACAGTTATTTTGATAACGGTTGCAGTTTTAACGGTTAACTAGTGTTTACGTTATTTAATGTGTGATGTAATTTTAGATTATCGTGTTTCGGTGAAAGCAGCTTTCGCCGTATTCGATAGTTGTGTAACACGAGGTTGGCCGGTTGACGTTGAGAAATCTCGTGTTAGATACATCAATATTTTAAAAATGCTTCGTTTCCTTAATATTGCATAATGTATGGACCGATCTGCATGGAAGATGTGGTTGGTTACAGGTAACCCATTATTTTTTGTGTTAATTACAAGTTTTTAATGTGGACGTCTAATGTTAAGAACTTAAGCAACATGCCATAATGCCGACTATGTATTACATGTACATAATTATACAGGTACATTTATGAGGTAATATAAATGATGTTTATTAGTAAAAAGAGACAGTAATAAGTTTTTATGCAATAATTTTTTTTAATTTTTGGGTTCATTGTTCATGTTTTTTTTATACAACTTAGAATGATAAACAAGCTGATGGCCCACCTGATGGAAAGTGGTAACCATCGCCTATAGACATGAGCAGTACCGTGGACACAACAGAGTATACTGTTTCACCCATGATACCCCCCATGCGTTGCTATCTTAAGGACTCAGGTGTTATTCCTCTGTAACCAGTAAATTCACGCTATATCCCATCCTTCAAACCGAAACACAGCCATGCAAACACAACTGCTTCATGGTTGAAACACGAATGGGACAGAGGTAGCCAAGCAATCGACTTTTGTACAAAGTCTCCCTCTGGAACAGTTATAAAAACATGTGTTGCTATACTAGCTATATCCCGCGGCTTTGCCCGCGTTTATCAATACTTAAAGTAACCTATGTGCTAAATTAGAATATAACCTACCCATGTACCAAAGTTTGTGCAAATCCGTTCAGCAGTTTTTACGAGAAAGTGTAACAAATATCTATCCATTATTACATTTTGCGTTCTATTAATATTATAAATGCGAAAGTTTGTAAGTTACAAACTAAAGTTAATAGGAATTAAATTAATTTAGTCTTCCCAAGTGCAAAAATGGCCTTTGTACTCGTATTTTTTTTTAATGGATGATAATGGAATGGTAACCCCTCCCGCGCTATCAGCATACACCGGCGGGGCACCAGTGAAGGATGATAGGTGAGGATGAAGCAGCTCAGTTAGCTCATCGTGACGAATTTAGCAAGAATTGTTCACGATGTTTTCCAAGGGGAACCACGTGGAGGTCGACCTAATAAGGCATATTGCTAGCAATGGGGCTGTCAAACTCCATTACTAACAATCCCTCTCCCCCCTTGTGCTCGTATTAAGAGGGTATACAATAAAAATGCTTAATAAGCTAATAAGAACAATAATGAACAGTGAGATGTTTTTCACAATTGCTACTCCATCACGTTTAAACGGAGTTAAATCATATTTGATTCACTACAGATCACAACCTATAGATTCCTTATTCTAATTAATGCAAATTCGCGGGATACAGCTAGTAATTAATTAAAGACGTAACACCATTATGAAGTTAATACTCAGGTAGATTTATTATGGATGTAAATCCATTAGAAAGGGCCAATGGAAATTCTCACGGGATTGATAGCTAACTGGTACCATGCAAAGGCGCTAGAATCAGCTAGTTTTTCCACAAATGTGTAGGGAAAGAGAAAAGAAATCCTCTCTACATATATTTGTGACGAGTTTTCTATAGAAAGACGTGTGTGGCCAGTTTTCCTTTCTCCTATATGTACTATATACGGTTTTTATATGTAGTATATAGGTGCGTCAACTTAGATGTTTTCTCTATGCATCATTCTACACAATCGCTTTCGAAAATAAACTCTAGTTCGAACAAAGTAAAATATAATTTTAATTCACAAATGAATACTAAACAATAGGCAAAAGTTACAAGTACGTTTATCGCTTACTTATGGCTAAAGTCATGGAAAGTTTCTTCTTAGATGACTATCTGCAACTCGTGCCTTTTATAACGTGTTCTAAGGTAAAAAATATTACAATTCTTATGGCACACATGACATATCTGTAATTGCGTTCGACTACAACATGGGGTTTTTCGAAAAGGAGGAAAGAGGTTACTTCAGGGTAGGCAACGTGCGCGTAATGCCCATGGCATTGCTGGCGTTTAAAGGTTATGGTAACCGCTTACCATCAGGTGATGCTTGTTGGCCACCTCAATCCCGTGGGTGACGTCAGACAACCGTAAGAGGTGACTAAGGGAACTTAATGATCAAAAGACTGGCAGTAACGTCCCTCTTAAAACATCCCCAAAGCCTAACTGCTGAGGCCAAACCACTTGTCAAGCGTGGCAACTACTGGCAAAACCCCCCTTATGGGGAAGGCCTGTGTTCAGCAGTGGACAGTTAACAGCCGATGATAGTTAAATTAACTGATAAACGTGGCTAAGATTAGTATCACGTTTCCTCTTTAAAATGAGATTCCAAAATCATTTCTTAACAAATTCTCACTGCCCATCCTTCGCTTTATAAATTCCCTTAGTCGCCTTTTACGATATCCACGGGAAAGAAAGGGGTGGTCCATTCTATACCGGGACCACACGGCGAAACCCGTTTATATGGTTTAACTATATTACGAGTGGCTTAATTAAATTTGCTTATGACGAAACAACTAACAAAGAACAATTACAAGTAATTTCTCACACATTTCTCCCAATGAAAGGCAGTTGTGCAAGTCTATAACTTTACATCGAATCCCATTATTGTTACTTCGGATTACGATTGTTCGTGGGAAGCTGTTTTGTTACAATCTTGTTAATTAAGCTAATATTATTGGATACCCCCGATGATTTATGCGTTTGATTTCATCTGTGATTGCTTTGGAATTTGCTTAAAAACGCACTCAATAGAAGAACAAGTAGTTGTGAAGGAAAGTCATTTATTTACAGTCAGAAGTACCATTCGAAGAGGCACAGTCGAGAGAAGAGGGAAGTCTGTGCTCTGCTCTGACTCTGCCCAATTCGGAATGACTTAAAGATGCTCGAAGTTATTTTAATAAAAAAGATTTTAATGCAATTTTTAAACCCAACCAAGTTTAGAGTCCATCTGGTGGATTTTTTTACTGTTAAGGAAGCAAACGAGCAGACGGTCCATCTGATGGAAAGTGACTACCGTTGCTCATGAATACCTGCAACATGAGAGGCGTTGCTTGTGCGTTGTCGGCTTTTTAAATGTTTGTAGGGTCGATATTTTAAATTGCCTACGTTAGTAAACCATGTAAAGGGAAAACTGAAGACTGGAAAGATTGGGGTGCATGGAAAGTAGTACTATGCCATGCACCCAAGAAATCAGGGTGAACTCTAGCTCTATGGCGAGAGGTACGATGGTAAAAGGCTGACGACAGAGTTAGGTCATGTCATTTCCTGGGATATTCCTTATTGTACAGTCGATGGAAAATGGATAAAGAGGCAATATCCCGCCTCAAACTCAGGAAATCCAAACTATCTGTTAGCATCGTAATAATAACTATTATCTATAGATATGAACCGTGCGTGGTAGTCTACATGATTTAAATTTAAATTTCAAAAGTCTGTCAAGCATTTTTTGACAGACTAAATGTCTCCGTCTTCTGAAATTACATAATAACCAAAAAGAATTATTCCCCTATGTTTCCAGACCAGTCGCAGGTGTGCTGATGAGCTACTCCCGAGGATGTGCAGCAGTCCTCACTCAGATGTCGGAGGGTGATAGCGTAGGACAAACTCCAACTGCGCCCCGTTCACCGACAGACTCTGCCAGTGACGGCTACCATTCGGATAGCGATGATTCTCATCAGCATCCTGACAGGTATGTATCGTCACTTTTTTGAACATTGATTTGTTTGATTGGTGAATTGGTGAAATCGAAATCATTGGCACACATAAAAAGTGCTATATCCTATACACTCGTAGGACATATTATAGGTACATATTTGGTGAAATTAAAAGTTCTTCTCGAAGAAACAAGTTCTAGAAACAGCAAAATAGTACTTATTTTGTGTCCACGTCCGGACGTGGTTGTATGTGAGGCTCAATTCAATTTTTGTAATTTTTCAATACATGTTAAAATATTCAGTTTGACTAACAGAACTATCCTTTAAGAGGATATTAATGATTTTGTTGTGGTTCTACTAGATTTGGAGCCTGTAAAGTAACACGAAGAGATTATGAAATATATAAGGTGGATTTATAAAATTGTACTGGTTATATTTTCAGAAGTAAGCTGGTGTCCCAGTACGCGGCGGTGTGGGCTCGTGCTGCAGACGAGGCCTTGCCGGCTCTCTCAGCGTTGGAGCCACTGCGGCAAACCCCGCACCTCAAATACAAGATCGTCTTCTCTATTGTTGTTGTAAGTGCTAGTATATTTTTTTAACAATTGTCTAGCGGCTAGACTCTAGCCTACAGTTTTATTGATCTTGAAAAATATTTCGTATCCCTTTTCAAGGGTCTTGCTGTAAGTTTTTGAGTAAAATTTTAGTAATATTATAAATATAGAAGTATCTTGTATGCGTTACTGAGGCAAAACCGTTAGTTACCGTTTACAATTTAAATTTAGTATACTTATAATAGGAATGAATGCGGAAATAATAACAAGTACTGTACAACACAATTATATCATTGGCTACGATATTCTGTGATATGAGGAATCAGATTTGAGCTAATTCAAATAAGTATAATTCTCGTAAAATTAAACCTATAGAATCACGTTATTCTTTAAACGGTGAAAAACTGGTAGTTGTTAGTGAAGTTCGAGATCTAGGAGTATTGCTTGATAGCAAACTTAAATTTAATGTACACATAAATAATATTGTCACACGGGCAGCACAAATGCTTGGTTTCCTTAAACGTTCTTTAAAAGGCTTTAAATTGAGGCAAACTAGATTAATTCTTTATAACAGTTTAGTACGTAGTCGTTTGGAGTTTGCCTCTGTTTCCTGGAATCCAGTCTACAGCTCTTCATCTCAAAGAATAGAAAATATCCAACGAGCATTCACTAGACACCTAGCTTACATAACCCGTAACATATCGCATAGGCGACCTTATAGTCTGAGAATGTCCTTCTTTAACATTACCTCTCTTAAGACGCGTCGTATGATTGCAGATTTAATGTTTATTCATAAAATTCTCAATAATAAAATTCATTGTGCAGATTTACTGAGTTCACTCCAATTAACGGTACCTCTAAATTATCCTCGACACCCTATAACTAGAACATTTAGCTTACCGCGCTGCAGAACAAACCTAGGACTGCATCAACCTCTGGCCAGGATTAGTGCGTCATACAATGAAATTAATGCCAAATTACCTGAAATTGATATAGTGTACGATAATTCGAATTCCTACAGGAATAAATTGCTGAAGCACTTTGTACAACAATCTTATGAACATTAACTCTAATTGTCATAATATATATTTTTTTTAATATTTTTTTTAATTTAATTTACTCATAATCTTATTTTCTGATTTTGCTCACAACTTAGATTACATGTTTATTTTTGTTATTTACTTAAATTTCTTACACTGTATAATTACGTTAAAGTGAATGCTGTGAATACCTATAATAGGCATGTGCATTAATATTGTATTGTATTTAATGTTGTTATACCTATATGTTATAATGCAATATGCTGTTGGTGTTCCATAAATAAATAAATAAATAAATAAGTTGACTTTCTAAATTGGCCTGACCAAGAATCATTTTTTGGATCCATTCACGCAAAGAAACATGCCCATCACCAACGAAGGTCGTAATGCAAATCAAAATACAGGATTATTAAGCTTCTTCTAAATTCAGTCCAAAACTCTTGCTACACTCAGACTTTTGTTACATTTGTTGAAACCAAATGTGTCTGTTGTTGCTCGCAGCTGTCGTTCCGCGCTGCAATCAGCCTGCGCGACCGGCGACTGAGCGAAGTGAAGGCGCTGCTGGGCGCCGGCGACGGCGACTCGGCCGCCAGCGACGCGGCCGTGGCGCGCCTGCTGGCCGCCGCCACGCGCCTGCTGCGAGACACGGCGCACAGCTTCCCGCTCGGGGAAGCGGAGCGCACCGTTATCAATCAGGTCAGTGGGTAATTAGGTGGAAGATTTTCAGCAAATGTGATGCCTGTCCAACTTCGATGGACCTTTCAGCTTCGAGTCCACAATAGACGACTACCCTAAAATGTAGAAGAAATCATCTTATAAAATCCTTTCTTGGGACATCAAATTTTTTGAAGACTTCAAAAGTTCATCGAAGTTAGACAGAAATTACCCTTGCTGAATATCATCCAGATATTTATCGTCAACAAGTTATTTCGATACGATCCAGATAATATGAAATAAAGAATACACCTCATTTGTGTTATATAATTGTCGAGGAAATGAGGTTTAGGATCACACATACGTTTCGGGTGTGTAAACTGTCAAAAACATATTTTGCAATCGGATTTTGGCATCTTTATTATATCCATTAAAGAGATCTTTTATTAATGATTTAAAAATGAAGTTGAAAATTTTAAAAATGTAGAGGCAATTTGGACTGAAATTCGACTTAGGATCTCCGGACCATGGGTGGGCGATATCCGACTTAGAACTGTTAGATTATCTAAGGTGACTATCACCTTGGTTGCTAAGAATAGTTTGATTTTTTAGAATTACTTGACCTGTAAATAAAAATATTTAGTTCACTTGTTACGAAGTTAAGATGTCACAACCAGAAGGCTCAAGAATCTTAAGACATTCATCTTTTCACACTGATTCTTTAAAATGGCAATACTATCTATCATTTTAAAGAATAATAACGGAGCGGTAATCCTGCTTGCGTTAACGGTATACGCTGGCGTGGTAGCAAGGAGGAGTAATAAATGAGATAGACAGCAGGCCAGTTATTTCATCGGGTCGAATTCTACAAGAGTTAACCACGGTGGCTTCCAGGTGGAACCGCGTGGATATCGACCTGTTAAAGTATACAGCAATGGGGTCTGACCCCATTAATAATAATCCTTTTAACCCTTTAATAATGACTGCCTTAACTGCCAGTAAGGCCTATACCATACAAGATGGGTCCATCCTCGGACACACTGTGCAGATTGTGCGGTGAGAAATTGGAATCTATGGAATATTTTTTTTTTTTTTTTTACAACACAGGGGGCAAACGAGCATGCGGCTCACCTGATGGTAAGTGACTACCGCCGCCCATGGTCACCCACAACACCTACGGCATTGCAGGTGTGCTGCCGGCCTTTTAAAAAGGAATATGCTCTTTTCTTGAAGGTTATGTTGTCGTATCGGTTCGGAAATACTGCTGCTGGAAGTTGATTCCAAAGAGTGGTTGTGCGTGGGAGAAAGTGCCTTGAAATAAATATTTGATGTGCAACTGCAATTTGTTGGCAAGTCTGCGGATAAGTTTACTGGAAATAGCTTATTCAGAGCCAGGATACTACAGACATCTTAAACCGCGGGATATCGTTAAGATAACACATAGGATCTATGAAATGATGGTATAAGGCAGGGGGAAGCATAAAAAATTCTGATGGGTCGACGTGCAACGGTTTAGCTGACCCCATATGCGAATATAAGATCAGATATAAATCCCTTTTCCTCGACTGCAGGTGTTGAGCACGCTGCGCGAGTACCCGTGCCTGGGCGGCTGCGGCGCGCTGCACGCGCTGGTGGCGGCCGCGTGCCGCGCCGCGTGGGCCGTCAGCCTGCACTCGCCGCCGCTGCGCATAGACACCGACTTCACGCCAGGTCTGCTGCACTCCTTTCTTCTTTCTATCCATCCACTTAGGCACTGGTATCACCCTTTTAGAAAAGAAAAAAGGGCGAGATATAACAGTAAGGATATACCAGAGGAAGACTTTGTCTAATAGTCGTTTGCTTGCGGTACCTCTGTCCCATTCGTGTTACTACCGTGAAGCAGTTGTGTTGGCATGGCTGTGTTTCGGTTTGTAGGATGAGATATGGCGTGAATTTGCAGGGTATAGAGGAATAACACCTGAGTCCTCAGGAATGGCAACGCATGGAGGGTATCATGGGCGAAACAGTATACTCTGTTATGTCCATGGTACTGCTCATATCTATAGGCGACGGTTACCACTTTCCATCAGGTGGGCCGTTAGCTTGTTTGCCATTCTAAGTTGTACAAAAAAAATGGTAACGCATGGGAAGTATCATGGGCGAAATAGTATACTCTGTTAAGTCCATAATACTATTCATGTCTACAGGCGACGATATCACAAATAATCCTGTGATATAGATATTGCTGTTCATGTTCATAGACAATGGTCACCATTTCTCATCAGGTTGGCTGTAAGCTTGTATGCCATTCTAAGTATTATAAAAATAATCTACATAAATAATGACTCGTATTAGCTAGCTAATCAGGTCACTTGGTATTATATTACATTATATTTAAACCGCGTGGTTCTGGCATAGAATAAACCACCCTTTCCTTTCCCGTGGGTTTCATAAGAGGCAACTTAGGGAGCTATGTTCGAAGGACAGGCAGCAGCGTCCCTCTTAAAATATCATCAAAAGCCAAACTGCGGTTGCTAACTCGCCTGCCAAGCGTTGATAGCTACTAGCAATATCCCCTTTATGGGGGGAAGTCTATGGTCAGCAGTGGACAGTTAAAGGCTGATATAATGATGGTGACTGAGACGTTGGATTGTTGTGATGATGATAGAGAAAATAATACAATTGTCGTTGATATTCCAGTGGTGATGAACCCCGAGAAGCATGTTCGTTTCACCCTCGGCGATGGGCGCGAGCGACGCTCGGACCTGATCAAGTCGTTCGTGTGGCCAGCCCTGATGGACGGCAACCGCTGCGTGTTCCGAGCCGTCGTGTTGACGTGACCACGCGTTGTACCTTCACCGATCTCTTGGAAGTGATGGCAGTCAAAACTTAAAGACTTCACGAACACCCTGGTAACCCCATATTTCTGGGACAATAAGAATATAATGAAATTTTGTTGAAATTATTACAGAAACACTATTGAAATTAGTAACAAATTTGTGTGTTCCAACGCTCGTATAACGGACTGTGTTCCGAGGTATCGTTTGAAACGATGCCTACAGCCACCTTTTATCATCGCACCGCTCGCCATCGACAGGAATTCATCCTCACAAGTTTGAACCTAAATGGTCTCGTACAGTGCGGTTTCAGAGAAATTTTCTTCTACGAACACTTAGGCTATGGAATGTGCTCCTTACCTAAGATCTCCCTAGAGACTTCAGTATGGGGTTCTTCAAAAAGGGTATGCTAAGGTTTCTTTAGCTATTATAGCCCCTAATATAGCAGGCGTCCATAGACTACAGTGACCGTTTACCATCAGATGGACTGTATGCTTGTGTCACCTTTGTGGTATAAAAAAAAATGGAAATCTTTTTACTTAGCCACTAACTACGCTTGAAGAAAGATTCTGATGAGTCTCGTAGTTGAAGGACAGAAAGAAACAAGTAATCACCAGACCTCACCAGAGGGAGACTTTGTACAAAAGTCGTTTGCTTGGGTACCTCTGTCCCATTCGTATTTCAACCGTAAAGCAGTTGTGTTTGCATGGCTGTGTTTCGGTTTGAACGGTGGGATATGGCGGTGAATTTACAGGGTACAGAGAAATAACATCTGTGTTCTCAGAAATGGCAACGCATGGGGGTATTATGGGCGAAACAGCATACTCTGTTATGTCCATGGTACTGCTCATATCTATAGGCGACGGTTATCATTTTCCATCAGGTGGGCCGTCAGCTTGTTTAAAAGAGGTAACGGAATAGGTCTTTTTTTAATGGATGACTAATGGAGTGGTAACCCCGCCTGTGCTATCGGTATACACTAGCGGGACACCAGTGAGGGATGATAGGTGAGGATGAAGCAGGTCAGTTAGCCCATCATGACGAATTCAATGATAAATTAATCACAATGGTTTCCAGGGGAAACCGCGTCGGGGTCGCAGCGAGGTCGACCTGGTATAATATACCCATTGAGGGGGGGGGGGGGGGGGAAGGGATTGCTGGTAATGCGAATTACCAGTTACATTGCTAGTAATATACCCTGTCAGGTCGACGTCCACGTGGTTCCCCCTGGTAACCATCGTGCTGAATTCCAGATGTTCATCACAATAGGCTAACTGATCTGCGTTTTCATTCTCGCCTATCATCTCTAACTGGTGCTCCGCCAGCGTATACCATTAGCGCAAGCTACCATTTACCATTCCATTCCATTATAATTCATTAAAAAAAAGATAGGGTATATTGCAAGCAATGGGGACTAATCTCCCCATTACTAACAATCCCTTCCCCTAGCGGAATAGGTCGCTACAATGCGTATTAAATAATTAGTCATTGATTGGCCAAGTAGTAGAGGGTAATGTGTTTAAAAGTGTTTGTCACTCCGGAAGCATTTATTTTTAAGCCAATATGAACATATCGAAATAATTTTTTTTTTCACAATTGTTTATTAACATATTGTATAGTTTTTTATTGTATAAGGTTTATTAATGTATGTATATTTTGTACAAATACAGTTTTTTTTTTAAATTTTGTAAGTACTTATTTTTAAGTTCGTAACTGTTAAATTTTTTTTTACAAATAAGTAATTTATTGTTTTAATGTAGATTGTATATTGAACGTTTTGATATCTATTTTTATTAAAGTATTTTTACAATATGTTTTCTTTTTTTTATTTATTTTTACTATTGGAGAGTTCGAGTGCCAATTTTCCCAAAAAAAAAAAAAGATCTAAGCTTTAAAAAAAGTGCTAATTATTTTTTTTTTGCAATATATTATAATGGAATGGTAACCCTACCTGCGCTAACGGTATACGCTGGCAGAGTACCAGTGAGGTATTTATAGGCGATGATGAAAGCAGGTCAGTTAACCTATCCTGAAGAATTCACCTGAAAATAAGCACGATGGTTTCCAGGGGGACTGCGTGGAGGGCAAGCTGATAGGGTATATTGTTAGCAATGGGGTTCCTGGTCCTCTTTACTAATCTCTTCCTCCCAGCGTGCGTGCGTGCATGCATGCATGCGTGTGTTCATGCGTGCATGCGTGCGTGCGTGATTGCGTGCGTGCATGCGTGCGTGCGTGCGTGTGATTGAGCGTGCGTGCGTGCGAGTGTGCGTGTGTCTCCCCAGTGCATTTATTTACTTATTTATATGTACAAGGTGAAGTTGAAATGATTAGCAAATTTTTAAGGGAGTGTGTTACCTAACTAGATATTATTATAATATTTTTAGATATACTTACGTAGTTGAAGCGAAAGAGGTTTGTTGGAACTGAAACATTTGTCGTTCCATTGTTTCTGCCTACCCTAAAGGGAGACAGGCGTTACAGATACGTATTTATTTATTTATTCATTAGTACAAATATGTGTACATGGCGGACTTAATGCTAAAAGCATTCTCTCCCAGTCAACCATAGGGAAGTGTCAGAATACTCGAATGCGGTACTACTAATTATTGATATACATACATACTAAAATTACATATATAAACGAATAAATATATATAAATAACAAATATACTTACACATATATGACATATACTATATTATACACGAAATTGAGAATAATATAAAGTACTTACTTACGTATGTATGTATGTATTTACGTAGTTATTTTAGAATTTTTACACAGATCTTATTGGGATATATTTTGGGGATACAATGCGATGAGATTTCAGAAAAACAATTATTCTTACTTACACGTACGTTACATATCTGATTTTGATAAAGATTTCGTAATCTTTAAGTAAGATGTATGTTTGTCGGTAGATAGACTAAATTAATATCAGAAAGTTCTAACACTATTTACCCTAATTATTCGTCCTAATTGATTAAGGCAAAGTCACGGGTAACAGCTAGTCAATCTATTAATCATCGATATTGTCATAAAGTAATAAAATATCATTTAATCTGAGTCATGTGTTTTCATTTTTCTGGACATGAAATTTAGCTACGTAGAAGACAGAGGGAGACTTTGTACAAAAGTCATTTGCTTGGGTACCTCTGTGCTATTTGTGTTTTTACCGTGAATCAGTTGTTTGCATGGCGGTGTTTCGGTTTGAATGATGTAAATTCACTGCCATTACCCACCCTGGGTAATGGCAGTGAATTTACAGGGTACATAGGAATAACACCTGAGTCCTCAGGCATGGCAACGCATGGGGGTATCATGGGCGAAACAGTATACTCTGTTATGTCCATGGTACTGCATGGTTGTACGTACATGGTTATAGGCGACAGTTACCACTTTTCATCAGATGGGCTGTCAGCTTGTTTGCCATTCTAAGTTGCGTAAAAAAAACATTTCGAAAACGATTATTTAGTAAACGGCGAATTTTACCTAGTAATACCATCCGGGGAGTCAGCGTGGAGGTAGATAGATAACTTATAGGTAAGATAGATACATGAACAAGATTAATGACACACAAGATTAAATCTCATTTGATGTTCCGTTAAGAAGAACAGAGTTGGTCAAACAAGCCCCCTCTCTTTTGCATAGCAACTGCTCAATGATGTTTTGAGCCGGTATCCACAATTAGACGTGTTTGCCTCCAACTGGCTGGAGTTGGGGGGAAGGGATTGTTAGTAATAGAGACTGGGAATCCCATTGCTAGCAATATACTCAACCACGTCGACCTCCTCGCGGTTCCCCCTGGAAACTATCATGGTTAATTCCTGATGAATTCATCGTGATGGGCTAACTGGCCTGTTTTCATTCTCATCTATCACCCTTCACTGGTGCTCCGCCAGCGTATCTCGTTAGCGCGGGCGGGGCTACCGTACCATTTTCACCCATCAAAAAAAAAAAACTTGCTGGAGTTTCGTCGTATGACCACAGACTGTTTGTGTTCCGAGATTTAAAATCTAATGTTATTTCTATTATTGTTAAATCATATTAATATTATTCCATTTAATTATACTATTGCTTTCTGGGTGAGCGTATTGGAAGACTGTAAAACTCACTTAGTTGATGAAATAAATAAATAATATCACTTTGTCAGGTACATTACATTCCATATACACTTAGTAAGCAAAATTGAATTTTATCAAATAAAACTAATGTTACGACAGAATTGTTGGAATGATTCATACAAGTACATCACCGGCTTATCAATCCTTACAGATAAGATTAGCAGTAATCATAGAAATATAAAACTGGAAAACAGAACAATACGTTCAGTAGATACACAAAGTTGAAACGTGTGAACAATGAGTCAGTTTCCACCGCCACCACCGGGGGCCCAGCCGCCACCCTACTACCCCCCACCAGTTTACCCACCACCTCAACATCCCCCTCACTACCCACACCCACCACATCTTGTTTATCCCCAGCCACCCGAAATCCACATATCGTACCCTTACTATGTTCCCGGTACTGCGATGATGCCCGCCCAAAACCCAGTGGAACCCAGCCAACCCAGCCAACCCACTTACATAACCAACTATATATACCACGGAGACTCCTCGAATACCCCAGCGTTACCTGATCCCGTGCAAGTTGTTGAAACCTCTGGAGATTTCGATTGGATTCCATCGACGGCGACCACGGCGAATATGCTCACGGGAAGGGCTGTAGTTGGTGGCCACGAGGGATGGGACGGGAGTCCTCTGTGGGTAATCCGTGCATGGCACAACGGAGACTTGATTCCTGGCAAATTGTCCGTTCGTCACAACGCGGCGTCCATCATGTACGACGGCAAAGAGGTACCAGTTCAGAACATAGAAGTTCTCTGCAGCAAACCGGACAACTTGAGATGGGTGCCGGGCTCGAATGGTTCCGTACCACCTGGAGCAATCGCTGGCGGTAGGACTGCATCTGGAGAGACACTGTACGTTGGACGGGCGAGGTACCAGCTGTCTGTCACTCCTGGCAAGGTCCACCCGAGTCACTATTCGTGTTACATTGGATTTGCAGGCGCTGAAGTGGCAGTTAAGATGTACGATGTACTCTGTAGAATCAGTTAGTGATTTTGTGCATAGTTAGTGAGTTAGTGTTAGTGTGTGTGTGTGTGTGTGTACTATATATATATATAGAATGGTTAAGGAAGAAAATATTGCTAAAATTGCTTGTTTAAAAAGTCTGAGTACTTGTTTAACATATAGATCGATGTTTCCCAATGTGGAGCCCACGACCCACTGGGGGAAATTTGATAGTTAAGGGGGGGGGGGGAATTAAAAAATGGACTTGAAGCGATTTTAACCCTCTTGCTCCGAGCCATTTAAATGCAATGCTATGAGTAGATATGGTGCCAAATTTAACAGAAAAAGTAAATTAAAAAAATACTGTAAATATTTATTAGGTATCAATTTTATTTATTACCAAAATATCAACTAGGCGATTAGAGTTGTCAAGTAAAGTTTGTCGGGAAAAATTATGTATCTCCCATACATAATTATAAAAATTTCAGAAATGTTCAAGTGGGGTATGGCACAAAAAAGGTTGGGAAACACTGGTATAGATAATCCATTGTATGTTATATACACCTACTTATATAACTGTAAATAAATAGTTAAAATTATTTCATTAAAAAAAATTGTTACAGTAAATATATTGTTGTCTTTCTTTTGCTAGATAAAAAAATATTTATTTATTTATTTATTATTATTTGACAAAAACACAAAGTTACAATTACAAAATACAATGGGCCCCACACTATCGAACCTGTATCGTGGGCACCCGACAAAGATTAACAAATCACAATGTTATAATAAAAAGTACATATTTGTGTAGCGTGAATAGATAAGCCAGTACGTTATCGAGTGTAAAATGTATAAGCATACCTACATTTTACACTCGAGTCTGTCATTTGTGTGGTATAAAAAAAAACATTAAATGTAGCGATATCCACGTAACAGATAGTTCATACAAATTCTTAAATTGATAGAATTGTGTACACGTTATACAAAAGAATATAGTGCATCTCCTACCGAATTTATCATGGGGAGTGCTCTGAGGAATTGTTCGGATTGATACCTGCTGCTAATTTTCACTATCGTACAACCCGCTACAATCTAAAATTTTATCCCAACCATCTGGACGAGTGGCGGTCCTCCACCGTGCATTTTTCAAGACACTTTCTTCCACGCACAACCACTCTTTGGAATCAACTTCCAGCAGCAGTATTTCCGAACCGATACTATAACATAGCCTTTATGAAAAGAGCATTTGCCTTTTTGAAAGCCCGGCAGCACAACTGCAATGCCGTTGGTGTTGTGGGTGATCATGGGCGGCGGTTATTACTTACCATCAGGTGAGCTGTGTGATTATTGTGCTAGGACTATTCTTCGTCTATAGAGACTAGGGTATCACCATGTTCTTTTTCTATGTTTTTTATCATGCCGCCTGCCTGACGTCAACTCTATTTGGGAATGTATTTGTTGGTGGTTACTGCCACCTACAGTATGGAGGAAAGGATTGAGGTAAAAAGAAGGGAACGTTGGAAATGCGTAAAGGAAATTGGTAAATAAGAGGTATAAGGGACTTATGTGGGAAAGGAAAGGGGGGACACTGCAATTGCGGAAACAGACCAGCGAATTCAGCATAGTATAGGCAGTATAATGTAAGAATTGAGTTTCCTTAGTTGGTTAAATTTTGCGGACTGTTGGTTTGACTGCGGCGGTCGCGTCTAGTGAGACCTCAAAAACTTTGCTTGTGTTGCCAACAGATAAGACGAAATTTCAAGCCGCAATTAGATTTGTAGACTGAGAGTAGTACTTTATTAATCTTTTAACTGTCCTAGTAAGATTTGTAAATAATACTAGCTTTTACTTGCGACTTCGTCCGCATTATCGGAAAACGTTTATTGAATGCGATGCAAAGTAGCCTAGTAAAGTAGTGTGAGGGAGAAAGGGACTGTTAATGAGGATCTGATAATGCAGTTGTTAGCAATATATCCAATCAGGTTGACCTCCACGTGGTCCCAACTGGAATTTTTTTTTATACAACTTAAAATGGCATACAAGCTGACGGCCCACCTGATGGAAAGTGGTAACCGTCGCCTATAAACATGAGCAGTGCCATGGACATAACAGACTATACTGTTTCGTCCATGATACCCCCCATTCGTTGCCATTCCTGAGGACTCAGGTGTTATTCCTCTGTACCCAGTAAATTCACGCCATATCCCTCCCTTCAAACCGAAACACAGCCATGCAAACACAACTGCTTCACGGTTGAAACACGAATGGGACAGAGGTTGGGTAGCAATCGACTTTTGTACAAAGTCTCCCTCTGGCATCTCGTCCTCGCTAGATACTGGTGGCGAGAGGATGCCTGCTGTATTGGACACACTGAGTATATAAATTTTGGGGATAGAGTACAATTTAGGGGATATAAAGTAAGAATGACGGCCTAAAATTGCTACTGAGATAATGGAGTGGTCGGCCATCGATTGGGCAACCCCAATCATTTTCCGGTCTCCTATTCGAAAAGGCAGATCAGTTAGCCCATTCTGATGAATACACCATGAATTCAGCACGATGGTTTCCAGGGTAGACCACGTGTAGGTGGACCTTATGGGGCATATTGCTGGCAATGGGACTGATAGTCCTAACTTACTAATAATCCCTTCCCCCCAAAATGACTTATTACGCATATGGTATCAGTGTTAATGCACAAGTCATGCACCTATGTTGAAATAATTGCTCCCAAACAAACAGGTCAATTTGCTACCTTCTTTGTCTGTGCCTTATTATTTGTGACATACATTCGGATGATATCACCTCGGCAATTGACTCTTGTACCACTCATCAATGGACATGCCACCCGATTATCAAACTTAGCGGTTTATTAATAAGACTGCGTATACTTTACACTGCCAAGAATATACACTTTATTAATGGATCTTGTAATGTATCAGGGAAGAGTACTGGGATCTTACTGAGTTTATTGTAGTCTAGACTTGTTTGTTTGACCTTTCAATGGTTGCAGGTTCGATTCCCGCACAATAAACATTCATATTTATACAGGTAAAGTTGTAATTATTAGTATGTTTTAAGAGAGTGCCCTACCAGTAAAATTATACATTTCTCTGAAAGAAACATGAATCAAAAATAGACAATAAGTTTTTTTATGCAATTTAAAATGGCAAACGAGTTGACCGCTCGCTTGACGGAAAGTGGTAATCGTCGTCTATAGACATGGACAGTACCATGGACAATTACGTCACCCATGATACTTTCCATATGTCATTCCTCAGGACTAAGTTATTATGTCTCTACACCTTGTTATTTTATTCGCACATATCCCACCCAATAAACCGATACACAGCCGTGTAAACACAACTGCTTCACGGTAGAAACACGAATGGGATAGAGGTGCCCAAGCAGACGACTTTTGTACAAATTCTCCTTGTTATAATCTATAATTAAAATGGAAAAAGAAAATCTGTTCCGAAAGTTATGTAACTGTTATACCCTCACCTTATAAAGTATACTGTGTCGCTAATGATACACTCCACGCGTCAGAACAAAAAAAGACAAAGTTCCAAACTCATACGTTTACATTAATACGACTCTGCCAGCTGTCAAGTAGGTCGAATTTCTAAGTTCAGAATTTTTGTTACATTTTGGATACAGAATCGTTGATACATATATCACATTACCCTGCCTTTTCCCATTTATATGGGGTCAGAGCAGTGCATCTTCTTCTTCCACAAATCCCTGTCAGCTGTTTACATTTTATTGCATGAGCATTTACATGCTCACTTCTCTTTTATTCATATCATCTCTCACAGTCCATATACTTGGAAGGAAGGGATTGTTAGTAATGGGGAGGTTAGTCACCAGCGCTATCAATATAAGGTATATATCAGGTCGACCTCCACGCTGTTCCTTTTGGAAACCATCGTGACTAATTTATTGTTGAATTCGTCACGATGGGCTAACTGACCTGCCTTTTTCTCCTCACCAATCATCCCTCACTGATGCTCCGCCAGTGTATACCGATAGCGCAGGCGGAGTTACTATTCCATTAACATCCATCAAAAAAAAAGTCCATACACTTTTTCTTCGCTCGTTTATTTTTTTTACATCTATCCCTTTTCATACTTGACAACTTTCTTTAAAACATGGTTTTCATTTCTGTGTCTGCTATGACCATACCAAGACATTATACTACTTCTATTTTAGCAGAAGGATATTTTGTACAAAAGGCTTGGGTACTTCTGTTCCATTCGTGTTCCTACTATGAAGTAGTTGTGTTTGCATGGCTGTGTTTCGGTTTGAAGGGTGGGATATGGTAGTGAATTTACAGGGTACAGAGGAATAACATCTGAGTCCTCAGGAATGGCAACGCATGGAGGGTATCATGGGCGAAACAGTATACTCTGTTATATTCATAGTACTGCTCATGTCTATAGGCGACGGTTAACACTTTACATCAGGTGGACCGTCAGCTTGTTTGCTTTCCTAAGTTGCATAAAAAAATATTACGCAACTTCTGCGTTACTGGTGCAATCTGAAAACTAAAATGTTAATATTTCGTTGATGCACAAATAGATTTAAAAAATATGATTACTATATAAAAAGTATTACTATAATAAAAAAAAAGACGAATTAAAAACCTTGTCTTCTTTCAGTCACATTTAAAATATTACGAGAAGCTTCTTAATTGAAATATTTTAATAATATTTAATCACTTATAATTAAACAATAGACTAGAATAAGCTTCCGGCATTATTTGATAATAATTACGTTACTTGCATAAATTTGACGTGAAATTATGTAAATGGATGCCTTAATGAGCCGCGCAAACACTTCGATCCTAAGGTCTGCATTAATTCGAAGGCCGGTACGTATGTACATAGCGCCCTAATCCTCTCAAATTGCTTTTACAATGTATTACTGTGATAAGCCCATTGGTGGACTATTACGAAGAAATCCAGTTAGCAATAGATATGTAGATGGCAGGGGAGTGAAGTTACGTTTACATTATGTAATCTACCGAGCAAGGGGAGGAAGGAATGTTAATAATTCAAATTTGATATATCATTATTCAAATAGTTTTGTTTACAAACATATTTAAATCGTATTTTTTTATAAATTTACTGCTGGGTAAGAACCCGTAAGAAACTTAATTGTTACTCTTTTATATTTCTGTTAACATTATGTATATTTATTTAAATATACTATGTCTATAATTAAAGATTGTGTCGAACGAAAAAAATGATTTAAATTTTGACAAAACGAGTTGTATTGATCTAAAAACTGAACTGCTAAACTGATTTTGATATAATTTCTATGGGAACAATCTGTAAGTACGTCCTTTTGGATAAAAAAAAAAAAAAAAAACTATTTTTTAAATCGGTTTAGAACTGACCGAGGACAGAGATATTACAAGACAAGTATAATATCTGTTATAACTGTTACTGTTACGCAATAAAAACAGCTACCAATAACTGTTATTAATTAACAGGTGTTATTTTTTATAACCATGGCCCTTTAGGAAGGAAATAACATGGGAATATGAGTTTAAGTATAATAAATACTAGGTGTGTCTCGTTTTAGCTTATGACAATATCATACAAAAGACAAAGACAAGAATAGTTGTTTCATTTTTTATTGGCTGTTCTGTTATTTCAAGCAATGTTAGTGAGTGGCTGTTATCGAATACTGAAAATGTCGATTGTTCATAGTGGTTGAATAACTCGAGTATGGTGAATTATAAATGATATTTTTTAACAGATATAAAAACAGCGCAAGAACAACTCTTCCATTTTATAGCAGCCCAGTATACATATTAATATTAATCCTCCTAATTATGTACAGAACCTCAATTGTCCGACCAATTGAACCCTTCCATCGCAGCCGGCGTCCAATGAAGCTAATTACAAGCTCAATTTACCGCGACGCACTCGACACAGCTCTTGTCAGCAGTGCACACCGCTCCTACGGGTTTCTTTGACGTATTTAATTGGATTGGAAGAGATCACGTTGTATTAAGTTCAGTGTGTGCCAATGGGATGTAGATTTTGGTGATTATTTTGTTGGTGGAGTGATTAATCAGGTATTGGAGAAGGAGACTGCTTATTTTCTTTTTATGGGTGAAATGGAATGGTAACCCTGCCTGCGCAAGGGGGGGAAAGGGATTGTTAGTGATGGAGACTGAGAATCCCATTGCTAGCAATATACCCAACCTCCTCGCGGTTCCCCCTGGAAACTATTATGGTTGATTCCTGATGAATTCATCATGATGGACTAACTGGCCTGTTTTGATTCTCATCTATCACCCTTCACTGGTGCTCCGCCAGCGTATCCCGTTAGCGCAAGCGGAGTTACAATTCCATTTTCACCCATCAAAAAAAACCCTGCCTGCGTTATCGGTATACGCTGACGGGGCACCAGTGAAGGGTGACAAGTGAGGATGATGGCAGGTCAGTTGGCCCATAGTGACCAATTGAATAAGAAATTACCACTATGGCTTCCAGGGCGAACCGCGTGGAGTTCGACCTGATATAGTGTATTGCTAGCAATGAGGTTGTTAAATCTCATTACTAACAATCCCTTTCCCCCCAAATTGTGCCTATATCATCGTTCGACTATTACAAATGTGGTAGTTTAAAAACATGTTTGAAAATATAGATATTCGGTACGCTGAAACGGCTAAATGGATTGAAATGAAACTTTGTACATATGGTAGATAGATCATACCCTGAATTAATATACTGAATATTTTTTGTTAATTTACGTGGACAGTTTTTTGTTAATTTACGGAAAACAACTAGTGAGTTTCTGAATGGGTGACTCGTAAAAGCAAATGTTGCACTTAGTAGATGCAGGTGCTTAGAATCATTTTGCATACAGTCTGGGGGGGGGGGGGTTCCTATACAGCATCAGTTTAGCAGTGGACAGCTAGTTTATGTATCGATCTTTTTTTTATGCAATTTTGAATGATAAATAATCAATGGTCTACTTGATGGAAAGTGCTCTCTGTCGTCAATAGACATAAATAGAACAGAGCATAGTGTGTTGCCCATGATACCTGTAGTGAAACACAACTTGCTAGCTCAATACTGTTTATTGTATATCGAAGGTACTAATATAAAAACCTCATCTTTCCTACCCACATAATTATACTACATCTTTCCCCTTATGACATATAACATTATATATATGTATTTATAAATAGTAAGTAAGTATAAAGGTAAAAATATAACAAATATCTGTTCGAATTCAGTATATAAGTGTAAACTAATATAATAAGTATAATTTACAACATTAACAAAAACCTATATATATATATATATATATATATATATATATATATATATATATATATATATATATATATATATATATATATATATATATATATATATGTACTCACTACATTAATGTTAATACAATAATACTATTTATCTACCTACTCATCATGAAACTAATTACAAATTAAAAGAATAACAGTATCAACACAAAATTAATTTAAAACACTACTTGTTTAATTTGATAGTTTTTAGTCGGTTTAATAATAAATATACATAATATTATGTATATTTACTTTAACGATTTATTTACTATATGGAGAACATAGCTACCATATTGGAATACATAATTTGTGATTACATTTGATTTGCATTAAAACCTGTTTTTTTTTTTCCTAATAGTTACAAATTGCGCATCGTTAGTGCTGGGTAATTCGTATGTACGTATATGATTAGATATGCCTGTCTGTATGGCGTTTTCTTTTGTACAAGTACTCGCCTCTGCGTCACAGCCTGTGGTGCTGGATGCAGGAGTCCCTGGCCTTTCTACTGTTTTATTTGTACCTGTGACTGTAGCTTGTGCTCCCTCATTACCTTTGCGCCGCCTGCAAACTATATGACGACGATTACGTCTAAATATACGTCCAGTCTCGTCTTCTAAAATGTACGACCTTGGCTCCTTTGCTTGTTGCACCACCTTCATTAAACGACGTTGACCGCCATCATTAATGACCACCTTATCATTTTGATCCAAGCTGGGGTAGACTTTGTGTTTTGCTTGTCTATCATAGATGGATTTTTGTCTTGTCTGTTTGTTTAATAACTTATCATAATTAAGCTTGTTGTCCACTTTGTCAGCTAATAACGGCTCGTAAATCGGTAGACGGGTATTTAAACGTCTTCCCATCAAAATTTGTGCAGGCGAATCCACACCATCCCTAGGTGTAGATCTTAAATTTAATAAACTTAAATGGAAATCATGTCCCGAATCTTCACATTTTTTTAGCATATTTTTTACGGTATGTATCGTGCGCTCGCTTTTCCCGTTAGATTGTGCATATAACGGAGATGAAGTAACATGCTCAATTTCCCAATTGAAAAGAAATTGTTTAAATTGTTTTGAAGTGTACGCCGGTCCGTTGTCTGTTATTAACATTTTTGGTATACCATATCTACAAAATTGCTCTTTCATTGCTCCAATAACACATGAGCTTCCAATTGAATTTATTCTATTAACTTCTACATAATTTGAAAAATAATCCACTAATATAAGGTAATATTTTTTTTTATATTCAAAGATATCCGACCCTAACTTATTCCACGGTAAATTTGGAATTGAATGCGGTATCATCGGTTCTCGGATCGGCCGCGGTGCATGCAGCGCACACGCAGCACAACTGCGTACGACACTCTCTACGTCACGCGACATGCCCGGCCAAAACATCACCTCCCGTGCGCGCCGTTTGCACCGGTCTATGCCTAAATGTCCTTCATGGACACGACGCAACATATCCTCCTGCAAAGTACTCGGAATGTATAACCGATTATCTTTAAGGATCAGGTTTTCTACATATTGTAAAGTATCCCTATAAGACCACAATAGACGTACTTCTGGATTCACGTTGTGTCTACTTCGAGGCCATCCATTACTAATATAATTTATTAATATTTGCGCTACTCTGTCATTTTTTAATTGCTCTTTTATTAAATCCAGTTTTTTATCACTGTATTGTAAATGCTCTAACATAAAACAGGTTTGTGCTTCTAATTCTTCATTGATCCGTTCATGCATCAGTATAGGTAATGGGGCGCGCGACAAAGTGTCCGCTATGTACATGAATTTGCCGGGCGTATAAACCACTTTGAAGTCATAACTTTGGATGCGTAGCATCATACGTTGCAGTCGCGCCGGCACAGCTGAGAGCGATTTTTTAAATATAGATTCTAGTGGTTTATGATCCGTCTGTATTGTTACATCGTTTCTACCGAATATGTACTGATGAAAACGTTCGCAAGCAAAGACAATCGCCAGCATTTCTTTTTCTATTTGCGCATAACGACGTTGTATATCGGTAAGTGTAAGGGAAGCGAACTCGACCGGCCGCCCTGCCTGTAACACCACGCCGCCTAGTGCCTCCGCGCTCGCGTCCACTGATACCACTATAGGTAGTCGGTTCGAATACAGTGCGAGGACGGGAGCTGATGTAATAAGACATTTTAATTTATTTACAGCATTAGTATGCTCGGGTCCCCATACCCATTCCACATCTTTTTTTAGAAGCGCTCGTAACACTACTACATTTTCGGAATAGTTTGGAATAAATTTAGAAAGATAGTTTACCATACCTAGAAACCTTTCTAGGCCCCTTCTGTCTTTAGGTATTGGCATATCGACTACGGCTTTGACCTTAGCACTGTCGGGCCGCATGCCTCGCTCATCAAAAACATGTCCCAAATATGTAACCTCTTTTACATTAAATTTACATTTTTCTTTATTAAAACGAATGCCTATCTCTTTGGCTCTCTGGAGTAGCTTTTCTAATCTAGCATCATGTTCCTGTTTACTTGATCCCCAAACTACAATGTCATCGATAAATGATTCAGTACCTTCTATATCCTCAAGGTACTGTCTCATTAAACCATGAAACATTTCCGGCGCACAATTAATTCCATAGGGAAGTCTTAAAAATTGATACCTACCATAAGGGGTGCTGAAGGTACAGAGGTCAGCACTAGCCTCGTCCAGTTCCAGCATCCAAAAACCACAGCGTGCGTCCAACACGCTGAAGTGCGTGGCGCCGCGCAGGCGCGCGGCCACCTCCGTCACTGTCGGTAGCGAGTAGTGTGCGCGCTGCACCGCCCTGTTCAGGTCACGCGGATCTAAGCATATACGGATATCACCATTTTTTTTAGCAGCTATAACGATGGCATTCACCCATTCAGTAGGGTAACTCACCTTCCTGACAACTCCTAACTTTTCCATTCTTTTTAATTCTGTGTACAATTTATCTCTCATACCTAGAGGGATCCTACGTGTTGGACAGATAACGGGGGCAACACTTTTATTCACAACAATTTTGTGTTTGCCCGGTAGTTTGCCGAGACCGTGAAATAAATCCGAGTAGTTGTCAATATTTAAGGTATTTACTCTTTGGATCGCTCCTATTTGTAAACATGCATTCAATCCAAGAATGTTTTGACACTTCATATCTGCTATAACAAATTTTAAATTATGTACTTTATTTCTAAAACTAATTTTTAAATTGCAACTTCCAATGACAGGAACCGAGTTTCCCGTGTAGGACAACACTTTTTTATTGTATGGCATAAGACTATTCGGATTTATTCCTAATCGGTCAAAATCTATCTTTGTTAACACATTTAACATTGCCCCTGTGTCTAATTTAAAATTGATACGTTTACCACTAAAGTCTATTATTTCTATCCATTCCTTGGGTAAATATTTTTTACTTTTACCCATATTTACCATATTTATGTATAACACATCCTCACTAGAATCCGACAACGAAGTACTCACGGTATGCACTCTTTTGCCAAGCACTCTATTTGAACACACTCGAGCAAAATGACCTTGACCGTTGCACACGAAACACGTAGACCTAAACGTTGAGCACCGTTGCGCCCCCTCACAGTAGGTATTTCCACAACGCCTACAAGGAGTGTCGCGTTGCTCACGCGGTAGGCGCTGCTCGCTGCGCCCGCCGCGGCGGCCGCGCTGGCGTCGCCGGCCACCGCTCGGGCCCGCGCCGCCGCCTCGGGGCGCGCCGTCACCGTACACTGCATCCACATGAGTACCCGACGACGTCGCCTCCTCTATCTGTCTACGCTCCTCTCTAGACATCTCGGCCGCTTCACAAATTTGCACCGCTTTCGCGAGGGTCAAGTCCTCCGCCCGTAGTAATCTATCACGCACGACGTTATCCAATATTCCACAAACTATTCTATCTCTCAGTAAACCGTCCACTAGGTGTTCGAATTCACACCCTTGACTCAGTAATTTTAATGCCGTCACATACTGATTAATTGTTTCCCCAGCGACTTGATTTCTTGTAAAAAATTTAAACCTTAGAGATGTAACATTCACTTTCGTTCCGAAGTGGGTATCAAATTTTTTTTTAAACACTCAATGTCATCGGGATTTTCCTCTTTTGAATACGAAAACGTAGAATAGACTTCATAGCCCTCTGCTCCAATGAGATTCACTAGCAAGCTCGCCTGTACCTCTTTAGATTCTTTATTGACGCCTGACGCTTTTAAAAACATGGCAAACTGTTGCCACCATTTCCGCCACGTTTCTGCTCGGACGGCAGGATTACCATCCACACGTAATTCTGAAGGAGGACGCGCGTGTTCCATTTTCCAGATATAACAATATGTCTACGGACACTGAACTTGACTTTCTTCACACCGGTTTTTAATTATAATACTGTAAACGCATTTATTTGATCGGACCGCTGCCACCATGTAGTGAAACACAACTTGCTAGCTCAATACTGTTTATTGTATATCGAAGGTACTAATATAAAAACCTCATCTTTCCTACCCACATAATTATACTTCCTGCGTTGCCATTTCTGGTTAACTATTAACTGTTATGCCTCTGTATCCTATAACTCCATTGTCATATCCACACAAAAGCACAACTGCTTCACAGCAGAAACACGAATGGGACAGACGTAACCAGGCAGAGTACTTTTGTACGAATACTTTCTCTGGTAATCTATAATCAAAATGGGAAACGAAAACTCTTTTAAGTTTGACAACTGTTACCAGAGGGAGACTTTGTACAAAAGTCGATTGCTTGGGTACCTCTGTCACATTCGTGTTTCAACCGTGAAGCAGTTGTGTTTGCATGGCTGTGTTTCGGTTTGAAGGATGGGATATGGCGTGAATTTGCTGGGTACAGAGAAATAACACCTGAGTCCTCAGGAATGGCAACGCATGGGGGGTATCATGGGCGAAACAGTTTGCTCTGTTATGTCCATGGTACTGTTCATGTCTATAGGCGACGTTAACCGCTTTCCATCAGGTGGACCGTCAGCTTGTTTGCCATTCTAAGTTGTATAAAAAAAATGCTTTCATCTTATCAGGTTGAAACCAGCGAATAGATAGACAATACAGATGGAGAAGTTGACTTTAAAGAAGATAGAAGAACTGAACGTGGATCATATAGTGAAATTATTAGACAGAGCAGATCTTACAGAGTTTGCGGAGTTCGTTAAAGAAAGAAATATAGACGGAAGGAAACTCTTGGTGAGTACATAATTATAGTATGTATACTGTGTAATCTTAACTCCTTATTTATAAAAAAAAATCTCTCACAAACCTATTTTAGCTATTGAACTGTTTTGTCTCTTTCTATTAGGCTAAATTCTCAATTTAAATAAGAAATAATCAGTGAGAAAACAATGGGCGGCCTTATCGCTAAGAGCGATCTCTTCCAGCCAACCTTTGGATGGAGAGGAGTAATTATAAACAGTATGGAATATAAAAAATAGTGTAATCGATTTGTAGAAGGATTTAGTTTCTATGAATAGGAGGGTTAAAATATAACAATTACGTATCACAGTATTTGTTCACGTTTATCTTTGAAACTGCTCAAGTGGTTATAAGAAATTTTGTACATTATGTATTGTTTGCTCCAATTTGATGGATAATTAACCGGTAGTAAGCGGTAGCATGTGATACAGGGCTTTTTTTTAATGGGTGATAATGGAATGGTAACCCCACCCGCGCTATCAATATACACCAGCGGAGCACCAGTGAAGGATGATAGGTGAGGATGAAGCAAGTCAGTTAGCCCATCGTGACGAATTCAATAAGAATTGTTCACGATGGTTTCCAGTGGGAACCACGTGGAGGTCGACCTAATAAGGTATATTGCTAACAATAGGGCTGTCAATCTCCATTGCTAACAATCCCTTTCCCCCCTGTGATACAGGGTTAAACAACGATTGCTGAATCAGCTAGTGTATTACATCATTGTGGTATACCGTTTAGTCCCGGCATAGAATAGACCAGCCCTTCCTTTACCGTGGGTGTGGTAAGAGTTAAGGGAGGGCGAGGGATGGACAGCAGCACCTCTTAAAACCTAACTTATCTAAAAGCCTAACTGCGGTTGCCAACCCGCCTGCCAAGCGTGGCAACTACTGGCAAACTTCTCCTAATGGGGAAGTCCTATGTCCAGCAGTGGACAGTTAACGGCTGAAATAATAATAATGTAATTATGTATATGTAATAATAATAAATTTGTTTCTTGAAGCGGTTTACATCCAATAAAGAAGATGAGACAGCCGTTAATGAATATTTTCACAATATTAGAAAGCAGAAAGATATGATTTAATTGTATATTTGTTTGTAAATGATAAATTAAAAAAACTATTGAATCGATTTTAAAAATTCTTTCACCTATAAAAAGCTACATTATCAGCGAGTAAAATAAGCTATATATTATTTAAAAATAAATGTAAAGATCACTACCAAAATTAGAAAAATAAAAAACAAAGTGTAAAAATTTGCCTAACCTAATAAAAAATACTAATTAATTTTCCCATTTACCTACTATTTTTTTTAGTTTATAAATAAATCAAATACTGCAAGTTCTCCATAAATAGGATGTCTAATATTCATGAATATAATTTTGTTTCTATGATATTAAGTTTGTGTCTCATAATTTCCATTATTTTTTCCCATTTCCGTTTCTAACCTTGTTAACCACTGTGCCTCTACATATAAAAGGAAATATTTCAATCTAATTCATATTTAATTTCCCAAGAATATAATTTCACCAGAGGGAGACTTTGTACAAAAGTCGTTTGCTTGGGCACCTCTATCACATATGTGTTTGTACGTTGAAGCAGTTTTTGCATGGTTGTGTTTCGGTTTGAAGGATGGGATATGGCGTGAATTTACAGGGTAAAAAGGAATAACATCTGAGTCCTCAGGAATGACAACGCATGGGCGGTATCATGGGCGAAATAGTATACTCTGTTATGTCCATGGTACTGCTCATGTCTATAGGCGACGTTTACCACTTTCCATCAGGTGGGCCGTCAGCTTGTTTGCTATTCTATGTCGTATACAAAAAAAACTAGTATATTGTTTGAGAAATAATTCTTGTAACAAGCAATTTGCAGTGGTACCCTACTACATTTTTGTTGTATTTTGTTAAGAGAGGGTCTGGCTGTAAACCAGCGCTGTGCAGCTGTTCACATTGCATTGGGACACTCACAGCATCAGCTGAGCCGGTTCCTTTTGCCTAGTATGGGACACTTTTTGTATATGTATTTTCTATATTTTATATTGTAATTGTGTGTTTACTGGCAATAAATGTTTTCTTTTCTTATTTTATTTTATTTTATTTATTAGGCGCATATAACAGAAGTTTACAAATACAAACTTAAATTATAACATGCAAGTACATTAATGTATCGTTCAGGTAAACTTGCCACAACATGTGCACACAGCGTGATCCAATAATAAATGCGACTGCAACAAAGCCATTTTCTATTCTTTTTTTTTTTACAACACAGGGGGCAAACGAGCATGCGGCTCACCTGATGGTAAGTGACTACCGTCGCCCATGGTCACCCACAACACCTACGGCATTGCAGGTGCGCTGCCGGCCTTTTAAAAAGGAATATGCTCGTTTTCTTGAAGGTTATGTTGTCGTATCGGTTCGGAAATACTTCTATATTTTTTATACTTAAATATTCTATTCTTAATGTATATACTCGTATAAAAATGTTTAATTCTCCGAAACGTTTCCTCGCACGAGGGATGGGTGTCAATTACTCAAACGTATTAAACATTCAGAAGACAAACGCAACCCTTGACCCTTCATTAAAACTTGCCATGTCTAAACTATTCCACTAAACTAACTTTAATCTGCACTCATAAACTTGACGGCATTCCACGGCTTTGAATAAATTTTAATTTATCCTCAACCTTGTAGTGGAGGGGGGAAAGGGATTGTTAGTAATGGAGACTGAGAATCCCATTGCTAGCAATATACCCAACCAGGTCGACCTCCTCGCGGTTCCCCCTGGAAACTATTATGGTTAATTCCTGATGAATTTATCATGATGGGCTAACTGGCCTGTTTTCATTCTCATCTATCACCCTTCACTGGTCATCGTCACCTATCATCCCTCACTGGTGCCCCACCAGCGTATACTGTTAGCGCAGGCGGGGCACCAGTATATATATATATATATATATATATATATATATATATATATATATATATATATATATATATATATATATATATAAATCATTACAGCAGATACTAATAATTCTTTTATACACCCATCCACTACGAGGCTAAAGCGATAAGTTCTCGGTTTCACACAGAAGAAATGACATTCTAATCACTAAAAAAATATTTTTCTTGCCTAGGTGCATGCGTCATTAGTTCGTATGACAAGTTTAAACTTGTTCTCTCAAATACCAGTAGTTTATTTTCATGAATTTTTGTAGTAAACGTCGTGCATGTTTTTCGTTAAAATGGATAAACTTGGATATCGTGCGGTCATAAAATTAGTACGATTACGGGGTACGATTTGCTTGGTCATCCCCCCTATTCTCCTGATTTGGCATCGGACTTCTATTTTACCCCAAACTTGAAGAAATTTGTTTCTGGGAAGCGGTTCACGTCTGATAAAGAAGTTGGGACGGCCGTTAATGAATATTTTCACAACCTTCCAGACTCTTAATTCCGGAAAGGAATACTGATGTTAGAGGAACACTAGATCAAGTGTGTTGAAATCAAGGGAGATTATGTAGAAAAATAAAAAAAAAAGAATGCTGAAATTCGCAGTTTTTAATTGTCAGGCCGAAAACGTTTCATCTTACCCTCGTATGTAATATTTATTATAACTGATAGTAAATGCTAATTCTTGTCTGGTATCCTTGTCTGTGATGCAGATTCGCCTAGTGTTTTTTTTATACCACTGAGGTGGCAAACAAGCATACAGCCCACCTGATGGTAAGCGGTTAGTGTGGGGCCCTTTGCAACTTGTCATTATTACATTGTGTTTTTGTCAAATAATTAATTTTTATATTTTGGTTCCTTATTAATATTGGACCGGCGTATACATGGACGGGTCGTTACATTTATGAACATAGCAACTAATTTTGCTACAAGGTTTTTCAGTCGCCAGATTTCACTTTAACTCACAGGATAAACAATTTCCTTTTGCCGCGGGCGATTTTCTTTGTATTCTGTTGTGAATATATTTTCAGGAATATTTTCAAATATAAATTGAAACAGATTTGTTATGTTATCTTGGGGTTTCGAATATTTCATGGGAGATTGTTGATATAATAGGATGTTTAGATTGTAAACTGTGGCATAATTTAACAGGATAACTGTTTGGTTTCCAACCATCAAAAGTTTAATTATGTTTACCATATAGAGATAAGAGAAATTTAGACTGTCACATTTTTCATTTTGAATTCGGTGCTCACAACAAAAAATTATATACTTGAGTATGCTTTTTCTGTATTAATTTACATATTTTACATATAATGTATTTAAACAAAACATGTAACAATTATATAATAACAATAATGGTACTATGTGATAATATATCCGGAGTTATTTACTTATTTATGAATTGCTATAAGTATAAAAATTTGTTACAAAAATTGAAATAATTCTGTTTGCCATCTTAAAGTAATCCTATAAAAATGTCTGTGATCTGCCCGATATTTCTATAATATATCTAATACTAGCTGACCCTATAAACGTTGTTTTACCACTTATTGCGAAATATAAAAATCGCAATTAAAATACAGGGGTTGATCATAAAACGATGAAAATTTAAAATTGTATGTATTTTTCAATGCTAAATTATAATAAAATAAAAAAATTTGTCAAAAAAATAAAAAAAAAATATTTTGAGGTGGGTCACCCTTATCATGGAGGGGTATGAAAAATAGAAGTTGGCCGATTCTCAGACCTATATGCACACAAAATTTCATAAATATCGGTAAAGCCGTTTCGGAGGAGTTTGGTAACAAACACCGTGACATGAGAATTTTATATATATATATATATATATATATATATATATATATATATATATATATATTTATATATATATTAGAGTTCTTTCTATTCTAAATATAAGATGCTGTATTGTTGACAAAGTCTAAAAATCAACCATTTAGTGAGATAATATATCCATACTGAGACCTAGATAACATTTCACACACATATTCCGTATAAAAAGTGAAAAGTTTTTAAAATCTTAATTATAACGAAGATAACCAACACTGCACGTAATTTCGTAGTTTCCTTTAATGAATAAAAAAATCAATCAATTACAAGTTATTTACTTTCAAAAGCGGGGAAAACATTTCGGTCGCAACTTTGTAAACACCGTAAAGAACTTCCCATAAACCAAGCAACCGGCGAGCAAACTTTTTTAATTTAACCTATTAGTTTCCACAAGGCTGGTCAATTTGCGTTCGCTGTAACTTTAACTCTTTCACAGTCGGAAAACATCAGTCGTATTGAGGTGGCTGATTCGAAAAGTTTGCACATTTTAAATATGAAACCACCAAAAGTTATTTACTTTGTAATTTTCAGGATGTCACCGAGGGAATCGTCAAATTATGGAGGCCCAGTGTCAATGCTAAAAAATTCATATTGTTCATTGAAGAGTTTAAACTCAAGCCAGATAAGTATCTTGAAAGACCGGAGAAAGATGTAGACGTTATAAGACATATGGAATCTAAAAACATTTCTATAGAATGCCAGTATCAAACTGTGCCTGCTAGACGAATAAGGGAAGACAATATGGCATCGACAACATTATCCAGTGTTGAAGAATTATTGAAAAAATTGGTGCCAGCAAAGAGTTTCTTATACCGGAATCAGCCAAGGACAATCGAGAGATCTGTGCCTTCTTATATGCCCATGGATGGTGGTCCGAAAAAACCGAAACGATTCTTCAGGTTAAGTTCTTACGAGTATCCACATTTCGATTTATGGTCAAGAACTTCAAAACACGAGACTTTCGACGATAGAGGGTATTACTCTGTAAAAACGAACAATAGGTACTTCATACAAAAAACCTACAAGAGACAAGATTCGAAAACCAAATATAAATCGTTGTCGACTGCAGAAGAGTTTAACGAGAAACTACCGGAAGACCATTTTTACGAAGACCTTTGTTACAGTGACATGAATAATAGTGAAAATAAAACAGAAAATGCGAATTTTAATCAAGTTACATCCGTGAAACCTTGTATGGTGAAAATACAAGAACTGTTTCAGTCTTTCAAAATGCCTTTTTTTCGGAAAAATGAAATAGTGAGTGGTGACAAAAGTGGTGTGGAGGATAAAACTGAGACGGTAATTGAAACAAATGTGTATGAGAACAGTGACAGTGCTACTAATATGTATGACTCAATACATGTTGTTAGGCCAGTCATCGACGGAAGTAATACAGAAAAGAATGAGGTAAATATTTAATCATGCCATACAGTTTTCAATTGCCTATTGTTAAGTAAAAATAAGTTGTTTATGATATATCAGAGATTTGACCCGAAAGGAATCATCTGGTTATGGTTAAAATCACTTTTTTTTTAAAGATTTTGGTAAGATTGTGGTAATATAAAAAATCTTTTGAATACTTCAGTATTCAATCTACTCGTATAGAATGTGCTGAATTTTTTCTTACGCATTTCGCTGATTCTCTTCAATTAAATTTTCCTTCCGTAACAACCGTCAAAGGGCCAGTTCTTTCTTTATTTCTTTAAGTTAGTCGACCGCGCTTAAATTCATTACAGCAGCTGTACACTGTCGGCATAGAAGGGCCTTTTCCAATAAATTCCATTTGAAGTCTATTAAAGAATTCGTTCGGTTTTAGGTGACATTTGAAATTTTATAAAATTTTCACCGTATACCATTTTGGTTGTATATTTATTTTTAAATGAGACATCATTATTTTAAATTAGCCTGTTAAACGTATGTTGGAAAATTAATAATTGAATGTTCGAATTTTTACTAAACAATAATATTTTAAGCAGGAATTATAACTGGCCAGTGTCTTACACAAATTTTTCTTAAAATTTGTTCAAAAATAGTCTACATGAGTTTGTCCCATCTACCTTCCTATTTCGTGGGTGTCGTAAGAGGCAACTAAGGGAGGGCGAGGGATGGGCGTCTCTCTTAAAACATCTCTAAAGCCTAACTGCGGTTGCCTATCCGCCTGCCTCCGCCGCCTGATTCCACTACCATTAGTATGTGTGTGACTGCTAACACTTGCAGATTGGCCACACCTATTATTACTAAAAGTTCCACAATGTATGTTTATCACTTTCTTTAACGTGGGCGGTTAGCTTGTACGCCGTGTAATCTACCTATCTATACTTATAATAAATCTGTAGAGAGGTCAATTCTGTCCATGAAATATATTTCCAAAATAACTATCAGGCGGTGATTAGTGATCGATACTGATGCCAAAAATGCAATCAGTAAAATTTGTGTCTGTCTGTCTGTATGTTCGTTATAGAAACAAAAACTACTCGACGGATTTTAACAAAACTTGGTACATTTATTCTTCATACTCCTGGGCAGGTATACTTTTCATCACGCTATGATCAATAGGAGCAGAGCAGTGAAGGGAAATCGGAAGAAGTAACTCCATTTTTAAATTTCTGTCGCGTGTGCAGCCTTAATGGCCACTTTTTAAAATGCAAAAATGTCCACCCGTGCGACGCCGGGACGGGCCGCTAGTGAAGAATACAAATATTTGTTCCAGTGCAAGTTGCCCGTAGAAGACTATCTAGAGCCAGTGCAGTTGAATAAGGACTACTGTGACGTCACAGTGAGGGAGAGGGACGACTCGTTGCTCGGGTACATCATGAGCATCTTTGATAACAGATTTGGCTTCAGACGAGGTGAGCACTTATATATATAATATTTATTTATTTAACTCTTTATTGGATATAATACAAACAAATTTATTATGACAATTAGAAAATTCAATAAAATTAAAATAACAAATCTAAGTATTTAAATACATACATACATACATACATATCTGTCACGCCTGTCTACCATTAGGGTAGGCAGAAACAATGGAACGCCAAATGCTTCGTTTTGTATATAAATAAAAGGTGCAAAAGGCAGTCTTATCGCTAGGGCAATCCCTTACAAACAACCTTTGGTTAAAAGGAGAACAGATAGAAGGGTAGCCGATAGTAGGTAGCTCTGGTAACAGTTGTCGAACTTAAAAGAGTTTTCGTTTTCCATTTTGATTATAGATTACTAGAGAAAGAATTCGTACAAAAGTACTCTGCCTGGTTACGTCTGTCCCATTCGTGTTTCTGCTGTGAAGCAGTTGAGCTTGCATGGTTGTGTTTCGATTTGAAGAGTGGGATATGACAGTGAAGTTATAGAATACAGAATTATTATTATTGTATACTATATGTATTTTTTTTATGGGTGAAAATGGTACGGTAGCCCCGCCTGCGCTAACGGGATACGCTGGCGGAGCACCAGTGAAGGGTGATAGGTGAGAATGAAAACAGGCCAGTTAGCCCATCATGATGAACTCATCAGGAATTAACCATGATAGTTTCCAGGGAGAACCACGAGGAGGTCGACCTGGTTGGGTATATTGCTAGCAATGGGATTCTCAGTCTCCATTACTAATAATCCCTTCCCCCCATAATATACGTATTATATGAGCATAATATAACCATAGTGAAAGTTCGCACGTTTATAATGAAGCGATTGTAAAATACCACAATAATTCTATGCGGTTTAGCCATAACATGAACACTGATTGTGCTCCCGTGTGTCGAACAATATTCACACAAAACCGCCAGTTTCATCACTACATCAATAAGTAGGCACGACACAAGTGTTGTTTGTAGTTTGTTTGTTGGCTTCATGGCTTAGCCAAACATCATTAAATATGGTAAACACGTACTGTATGGAATGGAGAAGGACTTAGATTACTTTTTATTCTGGTCAGTAAATATAGTCCAATTAAGCGGACGAAGTTGCGAGTAAAAGTTAGTATTACATATGTGAAACAGCACCATATCCTATCAGGTTGACCTACACCCTCCACGCGGTTCCCTTAGTTCTTTTCTACTTTTTTTTGTAGTTTAACCAACAAAAGAAATATTTTTATACTACAACGGTGGCAAACAAGCATACGGCCCGTCTGATGATAGTGACAGACATGGAAGATAACCTTTTATAAGATAAGACTACCTTTCGTACCTTTACGTCTATATTTTGATATCTAATTTATGCTATACTGTATTTCCTTTGAATTTTCTAATTGACATTGTATATTTTATGTTTTTTGGTGCAATAAAGAGTTAAATAAACAATTTAAGAAATATATTACATTAAAATATAGAGTAAGAAACAGTGTGATTAGAGAGAAGTGTGGACTGAAAGACGATGTAGTGACAAAAATCGAAAAAGGAATGTTGCGTTGGTTCGGCCATTTGGAGAGGATGGATGAAAGATGAATTACGAAAGAGATTTATCGAGCAAGAATAAATGGAGATGTCGGTAGGGGCCGCCCTAGACGGACGTATGTTGACCAAATAGGCGACGTGCTGAAGAAGGGCCAAATTAAAAGTAACCGTAACCGGCGAGCGTGTATGAAAAGATTGATGAATGTGGAAGAAGCGAAAGAGGTTTGTTTGAATCGAAGCATTTGGCGTTTCATTGTTTCTGCTTACCCTAATGGGAGACAGGCGTGACAGATATGTATGTATGTATGTATATATGTGAAAGTGAGTTTTTTTATGGATGATAATGGTATGGTAACCCCGCCTGCGCTATCGGTATACACTGGCGGGGCACCAGTGAGAGGTGAATGGTGAAGATAAAAAGGCAAGCCAGTTAGTCCATCGTGACGAATTAACTGATAAATTAGTCACGACTTTTTTTTTTGATGAGTGAAAATGGTATGGTAACCCCGCCTGCGCTAACGGAATACGCTGGCGGAGCACCAGTGAAGGGTGATCGATGAGAATGAAAACAGGCCAGTTAGCCCATCATGATGAATTCATCAGGACTTAACCATAATAGTTTCCAGGGAGAACCGCGAGGAGGTCAACCTGGTTGGGTATATTGCTAGCAATGGGATTCTCAGTCTCCATTATTAACAATCCCTTTCCCCCCTCAGGGCGGACTTAATGCCTAATGGCATTCTCTATCAGTCAACCGTTACGCTAAACACAGAGAGCTCAAGCTAAGTTCTCATAATAATGTTGAGGTCAAAAAGAAATAATAATATAGTAGCAATGGTTTGAAAAAAAAAATGCAACAGCAATAATAAATTATAAATTTTTAGAATAAATTTATGGGGTTTTATGAGGCGGGAATTAAGGCAATCGTGTTGATAAAATATATTTGCCTGGGATTATCTCGCCGTAGTTAAATCCCTTCCCTTCAAAAACCACAAATCATGCAACGCGAATCTCCAAAGTTTAGAATTTATGTCTGTCTAACTGCTACGTTATCATAAGACAACGACTGAACAAATTTTAATGAAATTTTGTGTTAGGTACATACATTTTTCGTATTACTTCAAAAACTTGTGGGTTATATCAGAATTGGTAGAGCGAATCATGAAATTGGTTGACTACAGACAGGAATTACTGAAAATGCATAGGATTATTTTTGCTTATTGAATCATTTCTGATCTTTTTTTTTTTTTATACAACTTCGAATGGCAAACAAGCTGACGGCCCACCTGATGGAAAGTGGTAACCGTCGCCTATAAACATAAGCAGTACCATGGACATAACAGAATATACTGTTTCGCCCATGATACCCCCCATGCGTTGCCATTCCTGAGGACTCAGGTGTTATTCCTCTGTACCCAGTAAATTCACGCCATATCCCACCCTTCAAACCGAAACACAGCCATGCAAACACAACTGCTTCACGGTTGAAACACGAATGAGACAGAGGTACCCAAGTAATCGACTTTTGTACAAAGTCTCCCTCTGGTAAAATGTTAATAAAATAAAAAAAAAAAACCTAGATGGCGTTAGTATCAAATAAGCAAAATAATATACCAAAGATAGACTTAGCTTAATAGTCATGAGTGAATGAATGAGTATACTTTATTTGCATTATACAATATAGGGAATAAGCAAGACAATTTACAAACACAACGATACAGTTGTATAAGTACAGTAAGGCGGTGTTATTGCTGAGAGCAATCTTTTTAAGACAACCTTAGGGTAATGGGCAAATTATTGTGTAAGCAAGTATAATTATGGAAGTAAAACATTAAGGAAAATTATTACAAGTAGCTATTATCAAATTTAAAAAAAATATTTTTTTTAACTATATATAATATATGAAAATATACATATATGTTAAATATGTAACTAATACTAAATGTTGTCCCCTTGGCCATCTCTGTTTCATTCATATTTCTGCTGAAATCAGCTTGCATGGCTGTGTTTTGGTTTGAAAGCAGTGAAACTATAGGGTATAGAAACATAACATCATGGCTCTCAGAAATAGCAAAGCGTGAGGCATATTTCCAAGGTGCTATCCATCTCTATAGACGCCAGCTGGTTCTATCAGGTGGGCCATATTCATGTTATTCTAAGTGTCGTAATAAAAGCATATATATATATTATATGTACTCGTACTTGCGGCTGAATTCACCGACACAGGTAGTATAACACGAAACATAGCAGGGCCTTTAAAGTGCCTTACATTCAGAGAGTGGTGGCAATATGAAATAATCTCATTTTATATAATTTCCGACACGGCTTAAAATGGAAACGCACTCACACCGGCTGTAACGTGGATACATACATTTATAACTTTTTGCAATTGTAATAATAACAATAATTTTTTCTCAATCATGCTTGGAAATGTGAGCATTATTTTGACAATCTTCTTAGAGATAAATCAAAATTGCCGTACTGGCCAGATACATGCGGGCAGAGGCCGGCAAAAGTTGTATGAAAAGCCATATCTGTCGTGTTTTGCGGCCAGATAAATTACTATGTAAACTCATATCTGTCCTGTAATTTAAAAATGGAATCACCTTTTACTTCGAAACATGGCTACCAAGGAGGTAACTAATAAAAGGTTTTATTTAAATTTCGAACTGGAATGTAAATGTAATATATCATTAGGCTATAAATAAATACATTTACAAAACAAGTATTTATTTATGTATTATTATAACAACCCTATTTCTAGGGTGTAATAATTTTGGTGGATGGCAATTATTTACAATGCTTAAAAATAATTATAAAATACTTAACAATAACAATAAACTTTGCTTTTAAAGCATTTAAATTAATTAATTTAATTTAGTTTTAATGTTCATTTTATTTAAGTATGCCTATCAGCTATTTAACACTTAAAGTACAAACTTCGCTTATACTGACACTAGATGGCGTTGTTTAATATTTCCAGTAATTACGCATACTATACATAATATACATTACGCTTAAAAGGATGAGCAGATTAGAATGAAAATTGCTTCACAGATAAATCACATCTTAAATTAACTTATAGGGTACATTTTATGCTATACCAATTTCACATTTATATTATTATATTATATTATGCAAGGTTGGATTGTTTCCAGAAGTTTTCTTTGTGTTAAGCAAAGTTAGAAGCCACGATATATTACTTGTACCTAAGTTTATAAAGTGGATTAGTGACACGAAAAAGGAGCGGCTAAGGAAATGCTTCCAGTTTGGAACTATTGTGGAAATAAAACGTATTTGGAAGTGTATTTATACCTATGTTATGTAGACAATTTATATACTAGAGAGAGAGAGACAGAGAGTTGAAAAAATCGATTTTTTTTATGCCGTTTAGAATGGCAAACAAGCTGACGGCCCACCTGATGGAAAGTAGTAACCGTCGCCTATACACATGAGCA